TGATGACCTGGGTTATTAGTTCTAAGAGACTTTCAGTGGAACATTTTAGGTCTTCTGTGTACAGCACCCTGTCATTTGCCAAGAATGATGTTTGACTTCATCTTTTCCTGTGCATACCCTTTTTATTTCCTTCTCTTGTCTGATTGCTATGTGGAATAGGAAGGGTTAAAATTCATATCTACCTGTTACAATCCCGCTAATAGTGATACAATGATTTGCATTATGTAATTTTGGGCTTTTTTGGTACTAGAGATCAAACTGATAACCAAGCAGCCGCTCATGCCACTGAGCTAAATCCCCAGTGTCTTATGTAATTTTACATCTTTTAAAGGAGTTAGAGGAAATGAATAAGATATATTTAATGAGGTCTTACTTTTTTTTAACTTTTATTTTTGGTACTGGGGATTGAATTCATGACCTCATGCTTGCCAGGCAGGTGCTTGTGGCTGAGCTAAATCCCCAGCATGAAGTTTTATATTAAACAGTATTTTTTAAAAACACTATTTCTGGTGCTCATTCATTTCTTTTTGTGGGCTGAAGTTGCTATTTGATGTCTTTATCTGGTTCCAATATAGCTCCATTGCCTCTTCTCATCCTTTATACTATCATTCTTTTTTTTTTTTTTTAACTTTTTAACTTTTTATCGGTCCTGGGGACTGAACTCATGACCGCTTGCTTGCAAGTCAGGTGCTTATGCCGCTGAGCTAAATCCCCAGGCCCCTATATTATCATTCTTGTGTATGTGAGTGTATATACAGATAGTTAGCTTTTTTTTTTTTTGTCTTTTTGAGACAGGGTCTCACTATGCAGTTCAGGCTGGCCTTGAGCTCACTTTGTAGCCCAGGCTGGTCTCAAACTCAAAATGATCCTCCTGCCTCAGCCTCCCGAGTGCTGGGATTACAGACATGAGCCACCACGCCCAGCAACAATTAGCTTTTGATGTTACAAGCCCAGTATTATAATTTTTATGTAACATTTAAAAACAGCTAAGCTAAGAAGATATTAAAATATGTTTATGACACTTTAAGATAATTATCCACATTCTAGATCTTCTGAAGTCTTTTTAAAATTCTTTTTTTTTTTTTAAGACAAGGTCTCACTATTATAGCCCAGGCTGGCCTTGAACTCACAGCGATCCTCCTGCTTTTGCCTCCTGAGGGCTAAGATTATAGGCATGAATCACCACAGGGCTAAAATTTTATTTTTGACAACTGATTATCGCTGTGTAGCCCAGGGTGGCCTCAAATTTACTACTCCCTCCCTCAGCGTGAGTGGTGGGGTTACGGGCATGTGCCATGATCCCAGGCTTAATCTTTCTTTCTTTTTTTTTGTGGTGCACTGAGCTATACCACACCACACACCGCTGCTAGTGAGCTCTTTCTAGGCTATCTAGAGAAAACTTTCATCTTGTCTTTGGTTTTAAAGGACGATTGTGCTTGAAGTAGAATTTTATTTTGATTATAGATTCATTTATTGAAACAAGATCTAAAAACCTCGTCCAAGCTGGCTCGAGCTCACAATCCTCTTGTGTGGGTCTTTCCCGAGCTGGGATTTCAGGTGTGGGGCACCGTGCCCAGCTTGATAAAGGATTCCTGGCCGACATGTGATTTTAAAATTTTCCTCTAGTTTGACTTTGTTCTGGCCTTAGGTCTCCACACCTTGGGTTAGAAGTTAGGGGTGCATGTATTTGTGTGCATGCGATGGTTTAGATGGGATGTAGTTGTTGTACTCTAAGAAAATACCTTCATTATTTTGTGTATTATAGCAAACCTGCAACATGGCTTACTAAATGTGTTTTTTATCCTTTTTCCCTAACTGATGTTAAGTGACCTAATATATGTTGAGCAATACTCTCCTCTGTAAAGAATTGCAAGAATCTCACCTAATTGATATGTTAACCATTGTTGCCCTCTACAAACTATAGAAGTTGTGCTAAAACAAGCTAACAAGGGTTGTTAATCACTGTTAGGCACCTCTATTCTCCACTCAAGAGCTAAAGAAAACTAGGATGGCCCACTAATTTACACTTGTTTGAAGTAACTTGCTTGTGTGCAGAGAGATTTGCATGAGTTTAACCCTTTACCTGACCTTGACACATAACCGCTGTTTTCTGTTCTGTATGGCGCCTTATTGCCTCCCTCTCCCCTCACCTATCTATCTAGGCCATAAAGAATTTGGGTTTCTGGTGACCTCTTCCCGACCCGGTGATGATCTGTCATAAAATGAGCCTGCCCCAATTTTAAGAACTGTTTAGCTTCAAAGAAATTACTGGGAAATACTATGGCCCAAACCCCAATCGGTGCTTTCCTTTTGTTCTGTATGCATCAAATGGGTTAGATATCAGATCTTTGTAAAACTTAAGTTTCAGCTCCTTGTAACTCTTGACCCCTTCGCACCCACTAGTGAAAATGAGCTGTCCTGGGATAATTAACTGTCCACTTTCTTCTCCAAATATTGCTGCAGATGTGCCACTCCGAGATAATGTCAGTCTGTAGGATGGGAGTAATTTGAGAAACACCAGGAACTCCCAAGATTGTCAGAGCTAAGTGGACAGCAATACAGTTTCCAGACTCAGGTCAACAAGTTTGATGGCTCTGCAGGTTTCTCTGTTTCTCCCCCTGCTTTTCCTCCAGCCTCTTTTTAAAGTCCTCCCTTCAGTCTCTGGGACACAGTCTCCAAATTGGCTCCCGGAGACTGGTCGCCAGGCCTGGAAATAAAGCCTTTGCTACCTAAATTTTCGGTCTCTTGCTTCCTTGGATTTTATACCGGGGCCAAGTTATAACAGTAGTAACGCACACAGCCTCCAAAGGCCCCTGGGCCCGCTGGCTGAGTCCTTAGGGAAGTGGCCTGGGAGTGCTAGGGCCCTTTAAAGGGCGCGGCCTCGCGGGAGGGTGTTAGGTCACGTGACCCCTTGAGCGGCCGGCGAACTATAAAGGAAGCAGCGTGCACCTGCCCTGGTCCTGGAGCCCCAGTAGGCGGGCTGTCTCTCCTGTGGAGTGGACTGGTGCGCCGGCTGCGCCCATCGGACCTCGGCCGGTCCAGTCGGTCCAGTCGCGGGCTACGCTGATGAGGAAAAGCTAAGTGGGTGTGAGTTTTGAACGTGATGAATTTCGTTGCCCTTCTCCAAGATGCGCTCTTACTCTTCACTTGCAATAGTTTGCACGCGGCTTGCTTCGGATGGCTTTATTTGTCTCATTCGAGTTTGTTGGGATTTTTAGCTTTGCTCGTCCATAGTTGATGCTTTAATCTGAATTTTGAATTTATTGTCTCTTCTTTGCTCCCCTCTTGGTCCCTTTCGGACTGAACTCCGGACCTCGCACATAGCAGCAAACACCTACCCTGTGCCCCACTGCCCTGCCTCCCGTGTCTATGCTGCAGGCCTTTGCCTTCATTTATCCCTTGCAGCTTCCCGTAGGCGCCTCAGCCGCTCCTATGCAGACAGTGCTGGCTACGCACGCAGTCTCCTACACCCGGTTAGACGGGGGTCAGCCAGGGCTTTCTTGTTCCGTTGTCGCCCTCTTAGGTTTGTGGATGGTCTGATGTTTCATGGCTTCTCTTTTTCCTAACTACTCTGTGAACTGTGTTATCAACTTGTTATATTTATTTTGGGCCTGATACGTGCCAGGCACTGGGAACGCAGCCGTGCAGAAATCTGTTGTGCTTTAGCTGGAGGTGGTGGCACAGACCTGTAACCCCAGGACTTCAGAGGCTGAGGCAGGAGGATTGCATGAATTCCAGGCCAGCCTGGGCTATGTTCATGGGCTACACAGTGGACCCTGACACACAAAAAAACAACACAAACAAATCTAATGTGCTTTTCTATATAAGATGTAGTTGCTATGTTAGAATGTTTGCATTTCCTCTAAAATTCTTAGAGATGGAGTTCCTGGAGCAGTAAAGTGGGGCCTTTGGACAGGAACTGTATTACGACAGCCATCTTTTTTGTCTTTTTCATTTTTATCAGTACCGGGGATCAAACTCACGACTGCCTGCTTGCAAGGCAGGTGCTTATGCCTCTGAGCTAAACCCCCAGCCCTCATGACAGCCATCTTCATGGAAGGAGACTAGTATCTATCTTTTTTGTTTGTTTTTTTGAGACAAAGTCTCAGTTATGTAGCCCAGGCTGGCTTTGAACTCACAGCAATTCTCTTGCCTTTGTCTCCCAAGTGCTGGGATTACAGACATATGCCACCACGCCTGGCCAGATTAATGCCTTTTAAGGGCTGGAGGTGTGTGTGTGTGGGTAATTCAGCCTTGCAGTGGGGTGAATTGAGTACATCCAATTTATTTATTTTTTGTCATTTTGAGATGGTTTTGCTGTGCATTGGCTAGCCTTGAAGTGATCTTTTTGTCAGCCTTCAGAGAGTTGAGATTACAGGCATGCATTACCATGCCTAGCATCAAGTATATTTAAATGCATGTTTTGTATTTTTTCTTTTGGAACTGGGGGATCAAGTCCAGGTCCTTCCATCTGAGCTGTATTCGCAGCCCTTTTACATTTTTCTTTGGTAAATTTTGAGCTGCCCCTACCTGTTGGTAACATCCAAGGCAGAACCTTCCTGCCTCCGAGTCCTGAGGGCTGGGCTCACAGGTGTGTACCACTACACCAGGCCTCATGGTGCTTCTCAGGGGAAGCTTTACAGCTGTTGGTGACCTCCTGGGGAGCTGTCTTCCTGGTAGATTTCAGACACATGGTTTATCTGCAGTCCTGCCTGGGTGGGTGGTTTGGCCTGGGGAACTGGACAGTTTTGCTGCAAGGGTGCTTCATCGGAGCAGTGCAGGTGGCAGGATGCTTCAGGGTACTGCACAGCTCAGCTCTCCCCCTCTACCAGGCTCCAGCCCTAGATGCCGCATGGCTGCCGGGATGCCTGGTTCGTAGGCTGCTGAGACTCAGGTGCTGCCACTTCTCATGAGCCCCCTCGAACAAGGAGGAGAGTGAGCCCACCAAGTGCAGCCTGCTCTGCCCTGGAGATGACCGGAACATGGACTACAGAAAACACTGGTTTCCACTGTGTTTATTACTAATATTAAAAAATGTTAAAAAGAAACACACTTCTTTTCAGTTCTCCAAAGACTCCCCAACCCTCTCTGGCCCATACAACAACTAACCCACTTACTGGGGCCAGCTTGGAACAGAACCCATTCACTGCCGTTTTCACAGAAAACACCAAATGCCAGGGTGAGGAAGAGGGTCCCCAGGGGGTGGTGATGCTGTGCAGTGTCCACTGGGGGGAGAGGACAGAGTCACAGAATTCAAATCAACGGCTGGTGGCCTCACGATGACAAGCTGACTACAGTGGTGGGGGAAAACGACACCAGGAAAGGGAGGAGGCTGCCAGTGCCCAAGACTGGCAGTCCTCCAAGAAATGCCCAGAGGGGGTACTAGGGGGGACCTCTCTCACTTTGGCAAAAAAACTTAGTGTAGTGTTGGAAAGCACAAACACTGAGAGGATACGAGGGGACACACGGTTTCACAAAGCATAGTGAGCACGGACCACAGCAGTGGGGATCATGCTACTGAGGAGAAGCTGGTCGGAAAGCCAGGCGCCTATACCAGCCACCATGCGGACTGGAGATCCTGGTGTCCTGGAGAGGGCTGGACAAGTGGCTGGATGGAGGACACTGCTCCAGGCTCTCAGGAATGCAGGGCAATCATGGACAGATGTGTGACAAACAGCACCAGAGGTTTTCTGTCAGCAGTCATCTGGTGGAGGGCAGGAGTGGAGGCAGTTGAGGGGACACAGGGGCCCCCAAGGTGAGCCGGGAGGCTGGGTCAGAAGACAGCGCGCACCGTGTCATAGTGAGCAAACACAGCTCCAGGCACTGGGGGTAGGGTGGCAGCAGGCAAACCTCACTGTGGCCGGCCCGCAAGGGAAGGCACAGTCTCACAGAGGAGGCCCATTGTCCCCCGGGTGGTAGAAGGCACAGAGATCCTCGTATCGGCAGTGGCCCTTTTTGGAAAAGTGTCGGCAGACAGGGCGGTTGGATTTATCTGCAGGGAAGTGAAAATGGGGAGCTTACAACCCCAGAAGACAGCAGAGAACAGCAGAGGTAATGGAGCAGCGCCCCCCCCCCCAGTCTCAGCCTCTCTTTGTGGGGAGGGGATGCTACAGATGGAACCCTGGTGCTAAGGGCCAGCCAGGGGTCATAGGGCGGAGGCCCAGGGTTCAGTGGGGCTGGGGAGTTGCAACACTCTGGAGTCAGGTCCCCCGGGGAGCAAGTCGGACCTCACCTTCCACAACCTGAGGGCTGTCCTTCGGTGGGCAGGTTCTCTTGGCAAGAGACCAACTTCTGAGCCTTCTTGGGTTTGTCTGCTCTTTGTAGAAGCTTTCCCTGGGGGGACCCCTGTGGCCTGGCCCCCGAAAAAGAGGTTCAGCATTGACCCCCCACCAACCACGACCATATGGACCAGTCCTGGGGCCCAGGCCTCCCCTAAATGGGCCTCTTCCCCTGGGAGGAGGGGGGAGGCTCAGCAGCGGTGGGATCCTCAGTCTTCTGGATCCTGGAGGACCTCTACGAAAAGCTAGAGAGTGACAAAAAGGTGATTGTGGGCAGCTGCATCCTGACACGTCTCGATCCTCAGCCCTTTGTTACAAAATAAACACACCTGCTTCCACCACGTGGGTGAAGGGACGGGGACAGAGCCTCACTAGTGCTTTAGGACTCTCTCTGGGTCCCCAATCCCTGCCCCAAAAGTTACTCATGTCCTGACTTCTGCCATCAAAGGCTAGTCTGCCTAGTTTTGAGCTTTATATGAATGCAGTCAGTCCATGTCCTTGTGTCTGGGTCCTTTCACTCAACATGCAGATACAACTGAGCCACAATGGAGGGACACAGAGAGGGCTTCCAGCTTGGGCCTAAAACAAGAAACGTTTCTACAAATGTTTTAATTCATGTGTTTCTCATACATATGTATTTCAGAATATGAGTAGCAAATGGGTCAAAGAGTGTACGTATGTTCATTTAATAGATAATTAGACTTCCTTTTAAACTGGTTGTCAAAGCTGGGTGTGGTAGCACATGCCTGTAATTTCAGCACTTTGGAAGCTGAGGGAGGAGGCTCACCATAAATTTAAGGCCAGTCTCAATTACATAGTGAAACCGTCTCAAAAACCCTAAGTAGTTATCAGTCCTTTGTCATTTTGCCATTCTGCTGTGTGATGAGTTTTTTATTGTAAAAATCAAAACACATAGAATATAAAGATTTACCATCATGATTTCCTTTGAGACAGGGTCTTACTCTGTAGTTTAGCCTGGCATTGAACTTGTGGCTGTCCTCCTGCTCAGCCTCCTGTGTGCTGGGATTACAGGGACGTACCATGCCTGGCTCTTTTTGAGGAAACCGGACAGTTTATCATAGTGATTATCCCATGTAATAATCCCATCAACAGGTCACAGGAGTTCCGAGTTTAAAGTAGCACTTTTTAAGTGATGTGTTTTTATCTTGCATTAATTGATGATTACGTTGAGTACATTTCACATTTTCAGTTCTCTCAAATATTTCCTAAGTTGTTCCAGCATTTGGCCAATTTTCTTTGAGACAGTGTCTTGCCATGCAGTTCAGGCTGGCCTCAAACTCAGAGCACTTCTTGCTCCTCAGCCTCTTTGAGTGCTGGGATTATAGGGGCACACTACCATACCTGGCCCTGTTAGTTTCTTAATAGCATCATCTGGTCTGACAGGAAGTTAATCTCTAATACAGCACATTAATCTTTTCTTTATAGCATATGTGTGTATTTCTTAAAGAATGTTCAGAGTTCTACAACCATGAAAATACATTTATTTTCTAGAAAAACAATTCTTTTACACTTAAATGTACAGTCCAGTTAAAATGCCCCTTGCACAGCCAGGGATTTAGCTCAGTGGCATAAGCGCCTGCTTTGCAAGCATGAGGTCATGAGTTCGATTGCCAGTACCAAAAATAAAAAAAATACAATGCCTCTTGCATCTGGTGTGTGAGGAGGTTGAACTTCATTTCCATGTGAAAGTCCAGTTAACCCAGCAACACTGAATGGACAGACTGCTTCTTCAGTTCTGCTTTCACATAAACACAGCGTTAACACATCTGTGGGCTTCTCTGGGCTCTTTCACATACTATATTGACTCACGTAGGATGTGAAAATGCAGACTTGTCATAATCAGTGTAGCTTTACAAGTCCTGACATTCAGGAAGCCTTGCTACTTTAAGATGGCATTGGCAGTCTCTCATCTAGTTCCTTTCCATACAAAAACAGAAACACCATAGAGATTCTAACTGGGAATGTATTACATCTACAGATCACTTTGGGAAGAAGCAACATTTGTACAATATTGAAATTTTTTTTTGGTACTGGAGACTGAACTCATGACCTCAAGCTTGCCAGGCAGGTGCTTATACCACTGAGCTAAATCCCCGGCCTTTTTTTTTCACACAATACTGAATTTACAAACCTGTAAATGTACAAGTCCTCTCCCTCCATTTACATAGAGAACCCCCAATCTTTTAAATCACTGATGGATTTTCCTTGATCCCTGGCTTTCTTCCAGGATCCAAAAGAAGAATCTGGGCCTCTTTCTTCCTTACCTGGCGTAGGATCACCAGGCTCTCCATTGGCCATGGGGGGAGGGCCCAGAAGGCTGGGCGGTCCTAAGAGCAGACACGAAAAAATGTTAAGAAAGGATTAAAGTTCTGATGACGCTGTTCCTGTCTTTGTTCCATTATTTATGCACAGGTCAGTAAATAAAGCCAGCTGTAGTCCCAGCAGTGTTACAAATTCTCGCCCCATCTACCTGCCCTTTCCTCCACAAAGCTGTTTGAGGTTTGGCAAAAAGAAGAGACCTGGTTACGCAGGAAAGGTGCTGACAGCAGGAAGGCTACCGAAAAGTTTCCCGTACAGTGCCGCTACCCATAACACCCCAGGCGATGCCATAAACAATCCAGTCTCTCACCTTAACTGCTGGCCAATCAGTTCTTTCCTCCTCTCCTTTCCTTGGGGAGTAGTTTAGAGAAGTCTGCACTTCCACCTTCCCAGTGACAGAGCGGTCACAAATTGTCATCAACCATCGCAATCTGTAACAGCTCTACTGCCCCCTCCCCTCCGTTTTGCGGCTGCGCATACGAGCTCTTTATCCTCTCCTCTAGGAAGGTTTGGGGCCGGACCGAGGTTGAGGGGTTCAAGTAAGAGAACTCATTCAAGCTTCATTCCCGAGCAGGCGGCCCCGCGCGCCCCGCCAGGCCCCGGCCCCTCCTCCGTCCGCGGCCCCTCCCCCGTCCTAGACCCGGCCTGGGCGCGCAGTCGGTCGGGCACGTGCGCACCCTTCCCGGCCCCTCACCGATGGGGCTCTCCTCTTCATCTCCAGTCTCTTCGCGATCGGGCAGTGTAGGATGCTGTGGCGGCGGCTGCTGCTGACTCTGCTTCTTTCGTTTCGGCATCGTAGTTGCGGCAGCGGCTGCAGCGCGCTTTGGAGGGCAGTGAGGAAGGGGCACGCGGGGACTCTGCTTCCGTTTCCGGGAGCGGCGGGCCCCCGCCGCCCCACTTCCGGGAGGCTGCGGGGAGTCGCGGCGTCGGCGCCGACCAGGTCCGGTGCGAACAGCCTCCCTTTGACTCTGGTCCGCATGGTGGCGACCCCGCCCCTTCCCTAGGCTGCGTTTCTCCAAGTCGTTAGGAAACTCCCTCCTCACGTGGGAAACACCACTGCCTACTCCTCGCGGCGGGGCGTAGAAGTGAGTGGCTTTCTGGCCGGAAGACCTGTGACGAGGGCTGTCGCGTTCTAAGATCGCCATTTCCGGTCCCGGTTACTATGGCAACAGCTGAAGGCACAACTTCGTGCCCTTCGACCTTCCTCCAGAAGTCCTTGTCCCACGCGCGTCTCTCCTCGCCTGCGCTCGCACCTCGCGCTGTCCGCCCGTTCCTCGTCATCGTCCCGGCTGGGAGTCCGGGCCCCAGAGGGTCGGCGCCGTGAGGCCTCGGCTGCGCCAGGGTGCGGGGCTCCGAAGGTCGCGTCCGGGCCCAGAGCGAGGCACCCCAGAGGCGAGTCCACGCCCCCGGCCGGGGTGGGCGGCTCCGCCCCGCGCCGCCCCTCAGGTGCACGCCGGTTTCTCCCTGCGCGCCCAGCCTCTAGGGCACGCGTCCCCCCGCCGGCGAGCGCCACTTGGTCGCGCCCGTGACGGAGCGAGCCCGAGCCGCCCACGCGCGCCTCCCTGGCCGCCGCGGCGCTCCTCTGTGTCCCGGCTCTGGCCGCCCGCCGCCGCCCGCACCGCTGCCGGCCGCGCGCCCGGGGGTGGGGACTACGCGCCGTTGACGTCACGCAGCCCCACCTCCCCGGGGCCCGGCCGCGCGGGTGCCACCCGTGGAGTCGTTAGGCGGCGGGAGCTCGGCGCGGCGCGGGGCGGGCCGCGGGGCCGGGCCATGCCGAGGAAGAAGCCCTTCAGCATAAAGCAGAAGAAGAAACAGCTGCAGGACAAGCGGGAACGGAAGCGGGGTCCGTCCGGGAGGAGGGGTGTGTCGCGGCGGGGCGGGGGTGCGTGCTGAGGCGCGTGGGCGGCTGCAGAGGGCCGCGCGGGGCGGAGGCTGGGGAGTGGGGGATGGGAGCTCCTGCATCTTCGCGGGCGTCATCACTGGCATCCCGGGAGTCGCTGCCCCCAAGCACATCCGGGAGGGTCCCGGGGGTGGTTGGGAGGCGGGTCTGGGGAGAGTTTGGGTGGGCGGAGGAGCCCCGGGGCACGCCCGGAGGTGGCCGCGGCTGAGGGGGCCGACCTTACTGGCGTCACCGTCCCCTCCGCAGGGCTGCAAGATGGGCTGCGCTCCAGTTCCAACAGCCGCAGCGGGAGCCGGGAGCGGCGTGAGGAGCAGACTGACACCTCGGACGGGGAGTCCGTGACCCAGCACATCCGTAGGCTCAACCACCAGCCCTCGCAGGGGCCAGGGCCCCGAGGCTACGACCAGAATCGGTGAGGAAGGGAGGACTTGGTCGGGACGCTGCGGCCGCGAGGAGGCTGGCTGTCCCCTTCACTTGTGAAGGGTTGGAGGGAGTTTGGCGAGGGCAGGCTGGAAGGAGTGTGAGTGGCGGAGAACGCTTGGGGAAGTTGTCTGGGCAGAGGGAAGACTGGAGCGTGTGCTGCATGCACGGCCCCGTTTCCTTAGGTACCGGCTGCACTTTGAGAGGGACAGTCGTGAGGAGGTCGAGCGGAGGAGGAAGGTGGCCCGGGAGCAAGTGCTGCAGCCCGTCAGCGCAGAGGTGCTGGAGCTGGACATCCGGGAGGTCTACCAGCCTGGCTCAGGTGCCTTGGGGGCGGGGGGCGGAGGCCAGAGCCGCGAGAACCCACGCAGGGTGGGGCTCCACGTGTGCATTGGAATCCTGAAGCTGTCGCCTCGCTTGGCTCCGCAGTCCTGGACTTTCCCCGACGTCCACCTTGGCACTATGGAATGTCCAAGGAGCAGCTGATAAGCCAGGAGGAGCGGAGCTTCCAGGAGTATCTGGGGAAGATCCACGGGGCGTACACTTCTGAGAAACTGAGCCACTTCGAGCACAACCTGGAGGTGATGGCAGAGTGGGGAGCAGAGGGGCCCTTGTGATCCATGGGGAGATGGTGCTGGGTCGGGCTGAAGTGGGCCTCGGGGCTCAAGAGTCTCCCTTCGGTCTCCTCAGACGTGGAGGCAGCTGTGGCGCGTGCTCGAGATGTCTGACATCGTCCTGCTGGTCACTGACATCCGACATCCAGTGAGCACTGGAGGGGAGGCTGGAGGGGCTGGGGCAGGAGTGGGAGGTGGGGTGGCCCCTGCCTGCTGCCCCTTTCCTGTGTTGCTGCCTCTTACTTGTGTCTTCTGGCCGGCTGAGTCCTCTCTCCTGTGCTTGGTGAAAGACCTCCAGTCCGTGCTCCGTCTCCCAGACGGGCCCCCTGTCCGTGCCAGACGTCCCTGCTCCTGGGCTCCTGTGAAGGGGCTTTCCCTGCTCAGCCCAGAGCTGCCCTTTCTTGCTCACCTGGGTTCTGTTGAGTGGACTGGGGCCATGCAATGACTGGGCTGCTCCCTTCCTGTGGTAGAGAGGGGTATCTATAGGGATGGTGGCAGTGCATGGTGAGTGCCCGTGAACACCCCTGCAGACATGTGCAGATGTGGCACGGGCACGCACGCACTTGCTTCACAGTGGTTCTTGCACATGCATTTGCAGACTCGTGCGTCTGTGGAAACAGTTGATAATTCCTGCTCTGACTCTCACTGAGCCCTGCCCTTACTTCTGTTCCCTTATTTTTGGCTTACTTTCCCTTACTGTGGGTCCTCTGGGACCCACACAGGTCTTGCTGACCCTTGTTTTGTCATCTGCCTGTTCGTCTGTGTCAGTGGGGCTGGTTTCCCTGGGTGAGCCCAGGACCTGCTGCCATCTGAGTTGTGCTGGCAGAGGGCTCAGGTGGATCAGTCTAGCTGAGCTCCCCTTGCTCTGTGCGCTTCTGACCCATGCCAGGTCGTGAACTTCCCTCCAGCACTGTACGAGTTCGTGACTGGGGAGCTGGGGCTGGCCCTGGTGCTGATCCTCAACAAGGTGGACCTGGCCCCGCCGGCGCTTGTGGTCGCCTGGAAGCACTATTTCCACCAGCATTTCCCCCAGTTGCACGTCGTCCTGTTCACCTCTTTTCCTAGGGACTCCTGTGCCTCACAGGATCCTGGAAGTGGTGAGTGGGCAGCAAGGTGGTGGCAGGGCACAGGGAGTGGGGAGCAGAGTCTTGTGGGGCCTCAGTGGTGGGTGAGGCAGTGGCTGTGCCTGGCCCTCACTGGCCTCCATGCCTTCCGTTACAGTGTTAAAGAGGAGTCGCCGGCGGGGCAGAGGGTGGACTCGGGCTCTGGGGCCGGAGCAGCTGCTGCGAGCCTGTGAAGCCATCACTGCCGGGAGAGGTGTGTGGCCTGCCCTGGGGCACAGGAGGCCCGGGGGAGGGGGGGCGTGGGTGCTGTATGGGTGTTCGAGGCCCGGTTGGCCTGGTGGGGCATGGCAGCTGTTCACTAGGTTCCCACTGTCTGTCCGATTCTGGAGTTTTTGGGAATTCAGCGAGTTGGCTTGGCTCAGGGGCGGTATGGGAATCTCCTTCCTCGCTCTTCCTCTGAGCAGTGGACCTAAGCAGCTGGCGAGAGAAGATTGCCAGGGACATGGCCGGGGCCACTTGGGGCAGCGGCTCTGGGGAGGAGGAGGAGGAGGAGGACGGGCCTGCCGTCCTGGTGGAGCAGCAGACAGATTCAGCCATGGAGCCGACCGGCCCAACCCGGGAGCGCTACAAGGACGGGGTGGTGACCATTGGCTGCGTAGGTAAGGACACAGGGTGGGGGGAGGACACGGGTTTGGGAGGAGTTTGGGCCCTTTTCCATGTCCGTGGCCTTGAGCACACCCTGGCTGCTGAGCCTTAGCTGCTCTGATTCTCCAGCATGGGTGCCATGCAGGATGGTGAGAGGTGGCATCAAGAGAGCTCTGTATGCCTGGCAGACATGGTGACAGCAGGGACACTCAGACGGGTGGGTGGCAGTGCCCTGGTCCATCCTGCGGGCTTTGCTGTGTGGAGAGCTGGGTGACGCAGCTGTTCAGCATGGTTTCTTGTCCTGGGAACAGGGACGGTGGAGCCGCAGCAGGGCTGCAGCCAGCGTTACTTTCTTGCCTTTCACTTTGCATTGTTTAGTTTTGTTGTTTGCTTTGAGACAGGTTTGTACTCTGGGACTCAGGCTGGCTTGGAACTCACTGTATTGTAGCCCAGGCTCATAACGGAGTCCTCAAGATCCTTGGATCATGCGGGCCAGCAATCCTCCTGCCTCAGCCTACTACGTGGTGGGCTCAGACTTGCAGTAACCCTGTCTCCTCCTGAGGACTGGGGGTTACAGATGTGTGCTGGGCGGGACTGAGCCTGAACTGTGGCTTCCCCAGGGCAAAGCGGGATGCACGGTTAGGTTTTGGCCATGTTCATTTTGCCATGGATGGTGGCCGAGTTTGGCAGCCGTGATGGACCCCGAGAGGCTGCTGGAGCTAGGGAGGCCCTGCCCTGAGGATGCCTGGGCAGCCCCAGGGGTTCCCACCGTCCTTGTTGCTGCCACCTACCCGCTGGTGAGGGCTCGCTCTCCTTTGCTGTGCTGTCTCACCATGGGTTCCCCAGCATAGGTCTTGGCCCTGACGTGGGGGCCCGTTTAGCGCACAAGTGCAGACAGCAGGTCCTTCTTGAGTGCTGCAGGTGCCGCCACTTTGGGTGGAGGCGCTGCTGGAAAGCTGGCGGGAAGGAAGCTGTGTCCGAAGGGAGACCACGTTTCCTTGTGGGGAGGTGGATCCCAGGGCTGAGGTTGGTTGAGCAGGGAGAGGAAGGTGGACTTGAGGGGGGAGGGTGCTGGAAGAGGCCCAGGCAGCCAGGGAGCAGCCTGGGGCTGTGGGCCTGGCCATTCTGGTCTGTGGGACGGTGGCCAAGGGCTGGGCTTCGAGTGCAGAACCTGGGGACAGAGAAAGGGGCTGATGGCATAGGAGAGAAGGCTTTTGAGTGCTGTGGAGGGGCGCAGTCATCTTGGCAGCCAAGTGGCGGTTTCTAGGGTCAGGGATTTGCCAGGGGCTCTGGCTCTGAAGCTGGGGCTGGCCGAAGCAGTATTTCGGCCACCATGGTGGATACAAGGGGAGGTGGTGGCTGAGCCAGGAGGGTCGCAGTTGTAGGCGCCCTGGGCTGTGCAGTGAGCAGGGCTGGTCGTGGACTGCCCAGCGAGACTTCACTTGGGAAACAGAAAAGGGAAGCGGGTTTTGACTTTTGAGTCGCACCGTGTGCTGGGGTCAGTGCAGTGGACACGGGAGAGGGGAACCAGGACAAGCCCCAGATACGGGCTGTGTGGGGGCGGGGCTGGGCTTGCCATGCGAAGCCTTCAGGCACAGGGTACGACCCTGGGAGCGACCCTGGGAGCGGGAGGTGCAGTGAAGGGAAGGACTTCCGTGGGAGGGGCCAGCCCTGAGCCGTGAGGGTCCCAGACTTGACCAGACAGCTGTGGCCTCAGCCTGCTGAGGTCCGGGTACCTGGTCAGTGGGAGTTGTGTGCTACCGCTGGGCCCTGTTGTGCTGTAGCAGCTTCAGCCTCCACAGGTGTCTCGAGCTGCAGAGAGGTAGAGCTGGGCCCTGCAGAGAGGATGGGCGGGAGGCAGGTGGACCACCTGAGGGCAGAGCCCACACCCTGGAACTGCTTGCTTGTTTCCCTAGCCTCAGTTCCTAGTGTCCTGCCTGCCGGTGCCGGTGCCGGTGCCGGTGCCGGTGCCGGTGCCGGTGCCGGTGCCAGTGCCGGTGCGGGCCTGGCACTCACGCCCGCCTCTCCCCTCAGGTTTCCCCAACGTGGGCAAGTCCTCACTCATCAACGGACTGGTGGGCCGGAAGGTGGTGAGCGTGTCCAGGACGCCGGGCCACACCCGCTACTTTCAGACCTACTTCCTCACCCCAACTGTGAAGCTGTGTGACTGTCCTGGCCTCACCTTCCCCTCCCTGCTGCCCAGGCAGCTGCAGGTGCGGCCTTGGGAGGAGCATGGGCCTGGGGGTGGGGTGGGGGGAGAGGCAGGGAGACAGGTAGACAGGTGCTGAGCGCTGTCCCCGCAGGTCCTGGCGGGGATCTACCCCATCTCGCAGGTGCAGGAGCCCTACACCTCCGTGGGCTACCTGGCTTCCCGAGTCCCCGTGCAGACCCTGCTGCACCTGCGCCACCCGGAGGCTGAAGACCCATCCTCCGAGCACCCCTGGTGTGCCTGGGACATCTGTGAAGGTGCCACGAGTGCAGCGCCCTTGGCCTCCCTTGCCTGGTTCTCCACTGCACTGTCTGCAGCCCCCCAGGGGAGACTGGGAGGACTGAGTGGGGCTTGGGGCCGGGCGGCGGGCGGGAAGCAAGCTATCCCCTCCTGACTCCCGCTTCCTCCAGCCTGGGCCGAGAAGCGCGGCTACAAGACGGCCAGGACGGCCCGCAATGATGTGTACCGAGCGGCCAACAGCCTGCTGTGGCTGGCGGTGGACGGCCGCCTCACCCTGTGTTTCCACCCCCCGGGCTACAGCCAGCAAAGAGGTCAGCACCACAGCCGGGGTGGGAAGAGGCCTGCACTGGACATGAGTGGGTGACGGCCCGGTGCAGAGGCGGCACAGGAACGGCTGTCCCCCCAGCCCTGTACCCCCAGTGTGGCCCCTTGCTCAGAGCCCCGCTCTCCTCCCCAGGCATGTGGGAGTCGCACCCAGACACTGCGGAGCTGGTGCTGCTGCAAGGCAGGGTGGGACCAGCAGGCGACGAGGAAGAGGAGGAGGAGGAGGAAGAGCTGAGCAGCTCCTGCGAGGAGGAGGGCGAGGAGGACCGGGATGCGGACGAGGAGGGGGAAGGGGACGAGGACACCCCAACCTCGGCGCCTGGGCGCGGCCTGGCCGCCCACAATCCGTATGCCCTGCTGGGCGAGGATGAGTGCTGAGCGCAGCCTGGCCGCCCGCTGTGAATAAAGGTGGTCTGTGCTGCCTGGCCTAGGCCTGAGGGGCACTTCAGGCGCGGCACAGCTTCTCGCCCCTGTTGCTGTCCCCGCTCTCAAAGGGACGTTCTCTCCGGGTCAGTGGGCACTTAGTCCTCTGCCTGCTCACCTGCCCTGCTCCATAGGACCCCAGGCTGGCCAGTGTGGCGGTGCCTGGCGCCAGGCAGGAGCGGGTCCCCGAGTGTGCGTGTTGAGGTCAGCTGTCCCGAAGGGCTGCAGGGGCCGGCGGCATCCAGGCTGCCGTGTGTGTGCGTGGAAGGGTGTGGCTGGGCCTGTTCAGGATGCTGTTGGGCACCCAGGGTTTGGATCCAGAAAGCCCCGTAACGCTCTGCACGTCCTAGGAGCTCCTGAAACGTGGTTCTAGGAGTTCTGTTGATATAAACTTTTAGCGGCAGACAGTGCTGGTCATGGTGTTGATTAAACATCAGTGAGTGGGGACTTTGTGACCGGCGGGCGGCACACATGTGGGTGATGGCAGAGCCAGGTGTGTGCAGTCCAGATAGGCTGGGCTGCTGTGGTCAGGGGGTCTGGGCAGGTGCTGACCAGAGCTCCGGGGGGTTTGCTTTGCCCCAGGAGTGGTCTCGAGAGTCGGGGCTCAGGGCTGCTTCACTCAGGCGGATCCTGGTGGGAGAGGCCCGGCTCCGCTTGCCCTCATGCTCGCTGCAGTGGGTTGCTTGTGAGACTGTTGCACTGGGCTCTGTCCTGCTAGTGCGAAGTTCAGGGGTGTCTGGAGAGTTCAGCCAGGAGGTGAGATTGGGGTTGAGGGCTGCAGACCTTGGGGGGTCCCTGGCTTCCTGTGTGTGACTCCATAGGAAAGTGGCCCAGGGAAGACCTGTGTCAGGCAGGGCGTTCCGAGGTGGCCAGCCTGGCCCCTGCCTGGCCGCTCTGCTGAGGCCCTGGAGGCCGCCATGCTGAGTGGGACTCAACTCAGACATCAGCTTCCACCCAGCTGCACCTCTGGTTGACTTAGTCTGGGTCCTGGACAGGTGCCCGTGTTGTGTAGCACAGCTCTGTTACCAGGGGTGGTTGTTTCCTTCCTTTCTTCCCTGGCACTGGGGATTAAATGTGGCCTTTGCACTCAGCACATCTCCAGGGCCCCCTCCCTGTTTGTTTTGAGACATGGTCAAAAGACATAGGCTTAAACTTGGTGACCCTCCTGCCTCAGCCTCCCTGAGCACCGGGTGACAGGAGTTTGCCACCGTGCCGGCCCTTTCCTGCAATCTTTGATGCAGTCAACAGCAGTTGATGGGAACAGTACACGCTAGAGATCCTGAGTGAAAAATCAAGCTTAGACCCTACACTTTGAGCTCAGCAGCCAGGTGCCTAGGGTGCTTGAGCAGTGATCAGTTGTGCACCCCGGCGTGTGGGGGGTAGGACCCTCGAGCACCCATATGGCCTCGGTGGCCCCAGGCCATAGCACATCTGTAAGCTTGCAATTCATGAGAAAATTAAAAAAACACTCTGAGCTGGGGGAGCTGGGCCTGGGGTTGGTGTCCCCGGTGGGAGGCCAGGGCTGCCCTGGAGTCTGTACCCATCTGCATCTGCAGGAAGGAGCCTCAGGCAGGCCCTAAGGCAAGGCCCTGGAGTGGTGGCGAGGGTAGACTTGGCTTTGTTGGGCCATTGATCCCAGGTTGGAAAGGAGGATGCTGGGCCCCTGTGGGTGTGGGGTGGAAGCCCCAGTGGAGGGGGAGAGAAGGGCCACTGGGATTGAGGGTAGGTGGGGGAAGGCAGCTGTGTTTTGTTTCTTGGTTGTTCTAGGTTTTTTTTGGTCTGTTTTTTCTTTTTTATCGGTACCAGGGATCGAACTCACAACTGCCTGCTTGCAAGGCAGGTGCTTATGCCACTGAGCTAAATCCCCAGCCCCTGTGTTTTGTTTCTTGTGCTGGCACTGAAGCCAGGACTTGCATGCTGGGCTACAATCCTCTGCCATATCCCCCCTCTTTTTCTTTTGTACTTTTAATTTTCTGAGGGGTTTTGCTTAAGTTGCCAGGTTGCTCAGGTGGGGCTAGAACTTGGGATCCTTCTGCCTCAGCCTCCCACAGCATCAAGTTTAGGGGTGAGCGAGGCCAAGCCCGGCAGAGGCAGTTTTTCCGTGGCCTCTTAAGGTGGCAGTATGAGGAAGGGGGGACACAGTGAGTGGACTCAGCCCCGTGTCACGTGGACCTGTTTCCCCCCTGAGCAGGGCGTGGGTGCACGTGGCCAGCGGTCTCTGCGCCCCCTGCCGCTGGGACGCGGTGCTGCCGGCTGCCTGTGCTATTCCGTGTTTGGTGTTGGTAGCTTTCCAGAAAGCATCAGGGTGGAGTTGAGGAGAGCCGCAGCTCGGGCAAGTTCCTTCGTGCACCCGTGGGGACGACAGCCGTGAAAACTGACAGGAAACACCCAATGTGGAGTAAACAGCCCTGACGTTTCGCAGTGTTTGCCTTATTAATCTCTTCCTGTCTTACACAACCATTTATGTTTTTTGTGTACTGAATTATTAAGTTTTTTATTTTTGAGACAGGGCTGCCATAATGCAGTCCATGCTGGCCTTGAACTCACTGTGTAGCCCATGCTGGCCTCGAACTCCCACTGCTCCTCCTGCGTCAGCCTCGCTCTAGTGCTGGCATTATAGGCATCTTTTTTTTCAGGGCTGCGCCACACCCCCTGCCCTGTCTGACACTTTTTGTTTTCTGAACCTTTGGAGAGCAAGTTCCAGACATTGTAATCGTGCCTCCCTACACAGTTCATGAGACCTCCTCCATCACCACAGTCAGCCCACCTGAGTCCCTGAAATGTTCCCAACTTCACTGCCGTTTATAGCATTATTATTTATTTTCTCCAGTTTTATTAAATTTTTAACTTCTTGTATTTACTGATATACTCGGCAAATTACATATTTACAATGCACAATGTGTTTTCGGATATAAATAACACTTAAAAGCCGGTTCCAGTAAAATGTTGCACGCTGCACTTAAAACAAACGTCCCCTCCTGTTTTCCTTTCCCCCCGCTTTTTTTCCCTTCCCTTCCCGTCCTTCCCTCCTTCTCCTTTTCTCCTTCTTTCAGGCCAGGGTTTGAGTCTGGTACCTGGGCCTGGGCTATACCCTTAGCACTTTTGAGAGGATCTGACTAGACTGCCCAGGTGGCCAAGAACTCATATCCTCCTGCCTCAGCCTCCCAGGTAGCTGGGATTACAGGTGTGCCCATGGCTGTCGGTTCTGCATCTCTTCAGTCTGGAGCAAGCCAGTCTTCGCCCTGGGAGCTGACTTCGGAGAGGTGAGGCAAGCTGTTAGAGGGTGCTGTAATGTTCCAACATCAAATACATTTTTATCTTGTTTCTCTGATGTGTTTTAACTTCTTCCTTTCCTCCGTGTGTCCTCTCAATTATGTTCGCAGCCCACTTAGTCCTTTGTTCTTCTTGGAGTCAGCAATGCCTCCACAGAGTTGGCAGGCTGTGCTTCGCCCCCCGGGTTAGCTCTGGGCCTCTCCCCATCTCAGTTTCTGATTGGGGATTGGAGCCCCGGCCTTGTGTGAGCCAGAGCCCCTTGGGTGTTTCTGCAGTCAGTTTAGCTTTTCTGTAACAGTTGTCATAGCTGCGATCAACTGTAACCCTGTCTGTGAGTCTCGGTTCCTACCAGCACAATTTTTGCACTATCTATAGTTGAGCAATAGCTTTTTTCAATAAATACAAAATAATCACAAAAATGTTTGTCTACTGAAATGAGAAAACTCTTAAAAAATTATAGGTTAAGGCAAATTACAGTTATCAGTGAAGCTTTATTTTACTTAAAAATGTTTTAAGCTGTGTGTGTAGTATTGTACATTTATAATCCCAGTGCTCAGGAGGCTGAGACAGGAGGATCTTGAATTTGAGGGCCACCCAGGTTATATAGCGATTTCAGGGCCACTTGTAGATTACATGGTGAGACTCTTTCAAAAAAAGTGTTTCTGCAATGTACATAAAATGTAAAACCATGAAAGGTACTTCTTGATCACTTGGGAATGGAAGTGTTGACATTAGAAGTAACAGCCTATTTTACTGTGGGGTCCTTGAAAAATGCATACGTTTAAGATTTTAACCGGGGCTGGGGATTTAGCTCAGCGGCATAAGCGCCTGCCTTGCAAGCAGGCAATCGTGAGTTCGATCCCCGGTACCGATAAAAAGGAAAAAGACAAAAAATATATATATATAAAATAAAACAATAAAAGATTTTAACCACATAGCTGGGGAGGGGGGCTGATGTTTGCAGGCTGAGATTTTAGAGCGCTTTCTGACTACTTAAGTTGGAACTAGCTAGTTCACGGAATTGAAGCGCACCTCTTTGAGGACATCCATCTACGTGAATACAGCCCAGTGATCACCGCGTGGCCTCAGCGAAGCGGCAGCATCTCAGGGGAAGGAACTGGGTCAGCGGCTTCCAGCGGGCTGTTTCTCCTGCGGGAAGGGTTTAACAGTCACCGGGCGGCGCGCCCCTGCCGCCCTCCCCGCTGTTGAGCTGGGGTGGGGTGGGGCCCTCCTTGGCTTCCGCTTGGGTTCAGCAGCCCAGGAGCAGTTGCCCGCAGTCACTTTCTGCAGCCCGGGCCCCACTCGTCCTCCGGTCCCTGAAGAGGGAGTGGTGGTCGTCTTCCCCAGGTGCCAGGGGCTTCAGTCTCCCTGAACCTCGCCCGTAGCATCGTCGCTGTCCTCCTCAGCCTCCCGCTTAGCAGCGTGGACCCTCACCGCGTGTGAAATGTGCGCACCCCACCGGTCCCAGAGGGAAGCCGGGTACTGCCCCTGCCAGCCCTGCCGGTCCATGTCCACAGCTCGGGCAGGCCTAGCGGGGCGGCCTGGAGTAGGGCAACCCCTCGGCCCGGGTGGAGGATGCGCCCCGAAGCCCTCCGCCATGGGCAAGACTCGGGCCGAGCCGGCGAGCTGGGCCCGGTGGCTCTGGGGCCCTGGCTACGCAGCCCCGTCTGGGTGTGCGGGGTCCGGAGGCTGCCCCCGGTTCCGCCCAGGTGATTCTGATCCCTGAGAGGTCAGATTCTCCCCGGGGCCCACGGGGCAGGGATGCTGAGGGGCCAGGCGCTCGGCAGGGACTGCTCTGCGGCACAGGGCACCGGGAACAGCGTCCAGGACCCGAGGGAGCCCGATGGGAGCGCAGCGGGTCCGGGCGGGGCCAGGTCGGGCTCTGTGCGCCGCAGGGGGCACGTGGCCCCCAGCGCAGACTGCGGCTGTGGAGCGTTGCGGGCTCCTGACACGGCCCGGGGGTCTCGGGAGAGGTCGGGCCGCTCGAGGCGCGATGCACTCATCCCGGGGTGGCGGGTGGCGTGGCGAAGAGCGAGTGCGGTGCGCCGTGCCGGGGCTGCTTGGTGACGCGTGTGCGGAGAGCAGCACTCTGAGAACTCGGCCTCCCAGGATCGGGGACTCGGGTGGCGGGTGGCGTTTTGTTGCAAGGTGATGCTGACTTTGAGCTCCGACTGCCTGACTGTTGTCATGGTAACTGCATGAGCAGTAACGCTGCCGCGGAACCGGGCTTTATCTGGAGCCCCACGGTGTGGTCTCTGACCCCCTGTGCTGTCAGTGGGACCAACGGAGGCCTGCAGGACCCGGAGTCACGCGCTGGTGTCCGTGGGTTTCCCTGACGAGGTCAGCATAGTGGACGCCGTGGCCCGGAACACAGTGCGGGGCGATCTTCCCGGCGCGAGCGCCCGCTGACCCGTCGGGTTGTCCGCTTCCGATGCGGGAAGCCGTGACCGCGGCAGGTGTCCCCGGCCCGCGCACAGCGATGAAAAGGGTGCGGATTTGTGGGTGTCCAGACCGAGAGTTCCCCGTGGACCGAAGCTGGGGCGCGGGCAGGGGCAGCGTGCTGGTTTCCGCGTGTCCACCAGATGGCAGCCCAGGCCGCAGGCTCGGCCTCGGCTTGCCCTTCCCTGGGCGTGACCCTGTCTGTCGCCGCCCCTTTCTCCTCCTCTGCACTTCGTGGTGCCAGCCAGCACTTGACTCCGGGACTCGAGTCCCCGAAGCGCTGCCCCAGCCTCCCGCCTCCTCTGCAGCCTCTGTCTCCTGCCACCCGACTCATTCTACCCCTCAAATCTGTCTCCAGCCCAGGCCCGAACCCCGCGTCCTCATCTACACAGCTGCTAAGCCCGCAGCTCATTTGTGTTTCAAAAGCGTCTCAGGCCCGTCTTCGACACGCACCTTTTTTTCAGATCATTTTCCTTAGAGCCTGTTAATTTGTTTTTCTCTTGTCTTTTTGAGAGAATCTCACCATGCGGTTCAGGCTGGCCTTGAACCCACTATGTAGACCTGGCTGGTCGCAAACTTGCATCGATCCTCCTGTCTCAGCCTCCTGTGTGCTAGGATTAGAGGCTTGCACCACCACGCCTGTTGATTTTGCAGGACATTGGTTTCAGTGCAGTATTTCCATGTGTGCATGTACTTTAAGCACATTTATCTCCCTACTGACCTCTCCTGACCTTCCCCTTGTCTCTCCGCATGTTACCCTTTTCTTAGTTCCTGTGTAACTTGTCTTTCAGAGCCTGATGATCTCTAGTTCCGCCCGTTTCCCCACAGGTGACATCATTTCATTCTTTTTTATGGCAGAGTAAAGGACTCTACTGTGAACGGGGCATGGTGGTATGTGTCTAATCCCAGCACGTGGAGGCTGAGGGAGTAGGCTGGCCAGGAGTTCGAGGCCATCCTGGGCTGCACAGTGACCCCCAGTGCCTGGGCTATGTGCCACACTTCGTGTAGGTGCCCACGTGTAGGTGGGGTTAGACTGGAGCCCTTCTTGGCTGTGGGCATTATTGTGGTTTGCTGGCCTGAGTCTTTTTTACCAAGAAGTGATAAATTTGGCTTGTGTGTTCTAGTTTTAGTTTTTATTTCTGCCTTCAGTTTCTCTACTGATTTCTACCCTTGTACAATTTGTATTCCTACTCGAACTGTCCTTCCCACCCCCATCCTCATCAGCATTTTATACTTGCTGTTTGGTTTGGGGAAATGAACCCAGGACCTTCGTGCTGAGCTACTTCCCCAGCCCTTTATTTATTTTTCAGATTTTGACACAGGGTCTCACTAAGTCTGTAGGTTGTGTACAACTGGCAGTCTTCCTGCCTCAGCCTCCTGAGTTGCTGGGATTACAGATGTGCACCGTTGTGCCTGGCTTATGTTTTGCATTCGTGAAGATACCCTGATGACTGGATGAGGTGGAATCTCCGGGTGGTTCTGACTGGGCTTTCTCTAATGGTTAAGGATAGTGAGCATCTCTCCATGTACACATGGGCCATTCGTGCCTTTTTTTGTACCAAGGATGGAACTCAGGCCCTCATGCTTGCCAGGCAGGCATTTGTGCCCTGAGCTATATCCTGTGCCTCTTGTTTTGAGAAGTTCTTTGCCTGTTTATTGACCGGGCTGTTTGGTTTTTGGTGGCTGGAAAGGTTTTCTTGCTTTCTTCAGTCTCTTACCTTGTTGGTTGTTTCCCTTGCTGTATAGAAGCTATGGAATTTGATGAGATCCATTTGTGAATGTTGCTGTTATTTCCTGTGCTGTGGTGTTCCAGGACATCATTGGCTGTGCCGATGACTCCAGATGTTTCCCCTGTGTTTTTCTCTGGTGGTTTTAAAGTACTTAGTTCTTGGTTCATTTCAAATTGGATTTTGTGCAGAGTGAAAGACAGGGATCTAGTTTTGGCTTCTGTGTGTGGATATCTAATACTATTCCTTACAGAGGCTGCCTTTTCTTCAAAGTTTGTTTTGTCAACAGACCGATGGCTGCAGCTGTGTGGCTTTGTTTCTGTGTCCTCCGCATGACAATGTTTGCACCAGTATTGACTCTCAGTGATCCTCCTGCCTCAGCCTCCCCAGTGCTGGAGTTACAATGAGTGCCAGTGCTCCTGGCATGTGCTGCTTTTTGTTGATATAGGTTTGTAGAGTAATTTATTTTTACTTTGTATTTTTTTGGATTTTTCAAGCGTCTTTCTAGGTAGCCCAGGCTGGCCTTGACCACACTGTGTAGCCCAGGCTGGCTTTGAATGAACCCACAGTGATCCTCCTGCCTCAGCCTCCCAAGAGCTGGGATATAGGCACATACCATCACCCCTGACTTTATAGTTTAATTTGAGATCGGTTATTGCAGTGCCTCCCAAAAGGCTCTTTTTTCTTCTGATTGCTGTGGCTATTCTTGGGCTTTTTTGTTTCTGTAGGACAGTTTGGTTCTAGCACTGGGATTTTGATGGGGATCACAAGGGCTCTGTAAAAGGCAGTGTTTGGTAGCAGTTCCTCTCCTCTATGAACAAACATTGGCTTAGATTCTGTGATTAGATTAGTTTACCTTTTTCTGCTGGAACTTTCGCTGCAGAAGTCTCTCTGTTTAGGCTGGTCCCTAGGAGTTGTTTTGTATTGGGAATAGAACTCAGGACCTTGCGCTTACTGGGCCGGTGCTATGCCGCTGACCTGGCCACCTGGTTTGTAAAGACTTCTGTAGGGAGTGGCATTGTTTTTCTGACCCCCCCCCCAACCTTGGAAGCTATCCAAGTTCATTACTATTGCATAGAAAACTGGATTTTTTTTTTTTTTTTTTTTTTTTTTTTGGTATCAGGAATTAAACTCATGATACCAGGCAGGTGCTTGCCAGGCAGGCACTTATGCCACTGAGCTAAATCCCCAGCGAAAACTGGATTTTTTTAACATTGATCTTGAATCTTGTCAAATCCCCTTCCTTTTGGGGTCTTCCCCATCTCTGCTCACAGCAGTTCCACGTTTCTCTTCAGGTAGTTTGACATTTCGGGGTCCTCTCTCTGTCCATGTTTCATCTTTACGGAATATAAAGTCCTCTTCGCAGATCACTAGGATCTCCAGGCCTCGCCTGTCCTCCTTACCACGGGATGTGGCCTGTGCATCTCTACCCTGCTCTGTTCCTGGTTCTCAGCCCTAGGTGACCTTTACAAAACAGAAACTGCAGTGCTCCTCCCGGGAGAAAGGTCAGGGCCTTTCCCAGCCCAGGCCGGCCGGTGTGTGTGTATGTGTCCTTGTGTCCTCCTCTTCCTGGTCCAGGCCATTGCTGTCCCAGTCTCCCTGCAGGGCAGGGCAAGAGCCTGGTCCTGACATCCCAGGGAAAACCCAGTCCCTCCTGCTTGCTCAGGTCAGGGCACTGGGAAAGTTGAAAACCCGTTTTCTGGAAACTTCAGCGTGTACCCCCCGCCCCAGGCACCTGCCAGCTGGCCTGACAGATAAGGCTGCTGCAGTGCTCAGTGCCCACTGCAGCCTACAGATAGCCAGTGCATCCTCACATGGGTTTTCATTTGGTTTTTGTTTTTGAGCTGTGGTCTCACTGTGTAGCCCAGACTGGTCTCAAACTCCTGCAGCCTTCTGAGTGCTGAGATGACAGGCGTGTGCCATCATGCCTGGCCCCTGTCTTGTGTTTTCTCCTGTTCACCCCAATCCTGGGAAGCACTGGCTATGGGTTTAAGTCTCAGCACCCTGTCCCTCAGACATGCCCATATCCTGGGCCTGGGGTGCTCCCTATACAGCCCATGTAGGGGCCAAGCAGCATCTGTCACCTGGCACAGAATAACCCTTCACCTCCTCCACCTCCCAAGGGTCACGGTGCAGCCGTGTCGAACAACCCTCAGAGTCCTCAGTGGGACTTCCTCCTCCTCCACATCCAGTCACCTGAAGAAGGGCCCTGCCAGCCACCGTGGTGAAGTGGCCTCCTACACCCCGAAAACCTACACTCCGGCCCATGTTCCCCACTGTATTTTTTGTCTTTTTATATTTACCACTTCTAACTGGATTTTTAGGTGGGTATAGTGGGTAAATGCCTGTCATCCCAGCCCAGGGGAGGCTGAGGCAGGAGGATCACTGTGACTTCCAGACCAGCCTGGACTACATAGTGAGACCTTGTCTCAAAAAGACCTAACAAACAAAAAAACCCTGAAATGTTGTGTTTGGTAGGCTGAATAATGGCTCCCAAAGACACACATGCCCAGCCCTGGAGTCCGGGACTGTTTTATTCTATATGCAGATGGGGAGATATTCATATCCACTGGCTGGTACTGAGGCTGCTCTCAGCATGACTGAGCCAGGAGACATGAGGAGACACAGGCAGATTTGAGTTGGAGAGGACGGGAGGGCCTGAGGGAGAGCAGACTCCAGTCCATTGCACAGGGACGAGTGTGTATGTGTCTGTTTGTCCACTGAGTCTGTGGTGATCTTTTATACTAGCAAAAGTAAACTGAGCCCATGGTGTCTGCTCTGCCCAAGAAAACGCATGGTCTCGCTTGTTCTGCCCTGACGGGGGATTCCTGCAGGGGCATTGGGCCCTGGCCTCAGCAGAGGCTCTGCCACTCACAGGGCTGGCTTAGGCCGGCTGTGGCCGGAGGAGAAGAATCTACCCAGGAGCTGAGGTCTCGGGGCATCTGGGCCCACACAGAACAGGAGTGGGAGTGTCACAGCCAGGTGAGTCTCGGGGACAGAGGCCCTTTCCCCTGTGGCTCTGACCCATAGCCACTCTGACCTCACCAGAGCCCCTGGGCCAGGCTCCCCTGGAGTCTCACAACCGCCTCTGAGAAACCCCAGAAAGTGCAGTGTTCCCAGTGCTTTTGAGGAGGCTGAATGAGATGGGAGTTTCCTGCGCCACCTGCCACCTCTGCTGCTGTCCTGAGAAGGAAGAAAGCCGGAACTGAGAGGAGCTGGCACTCCTGGTGCTGTCCTGGTGGTTCCCTCTCCCAGCCCAGGGGCTGCCTGCCTCGGCAGCCAAGAGCAGAGGGAGCAGTTTCCAGAGTGGCCTGAGGTCTGCTATGGAAAACCCGGCTCCCATGCAGGCGGCCCTGGATGTGGCCGGGAAGTTCCTGTACCCCTGGTGGGCCCTGTAGGCCAGCTCACCCACTGCCCACTACTCAGGGCCCTGGTCTCTGTTTTCCACAGCTGGAGAGCAAGGCATGCGGGTCCCACAGCCTTGGGCCAGCTCCACCCTCTGGCCTCAGCTCACAATGGCAGGAACAGGAGGGGAGGCAGGACAGCCCCACCACCTACCAGGGCATGAGGTTGGTGGAGCAGATGGTTTCCCGCATGGAAAGCGTTCCTGTCTGTAGCATCTGGGTAGAGGATTCACAGGGCAGTCCGAGGAGACCCACAGGCTCCTCTGAGTGGGGGCGGCAGCCCCTGTGGGAGCCACATGCCTTCCTGCACCACTGGGTCACAGCGCAGGGCCTGGAGCTCAGCAAAAGCAAAGAAAAGCATGGGACAGGAACTCCTCCCAACCCGCCCACTGACCACTGACCAAAACCCTGCCAAGAGCCTGTAAAACTCCCTGTGCGTCAGCCGTGGGAATGGGTTTATTAATCTGAAAAGGCCATCACCCTGGTTCAGATGCATCTGCACTGGCAGCCGGTGCAGAGAGAAAGCCGGGTTTATGTGAAGTTTGAGATGGGTGTTTACAGGCCTCTTCTTGAAAATGCTGCAGTTAGACATTTGAGCAGCCTACAGTGAATCTGCAGAGTAATAAAGTAGACTTTGTAGTTGTCAGACAGGACAGTAAGCAAAACTGTGGGGGTGGTTTTGGGAATTGCACACAGCCTGACTCGGGGATCCCTTCAGAGAAACATCACCACATGTGATTAAAGAAATAAAAGTAAACTCACCACACCCCATGTGGTTCAGATGCAAATGCTGATGCCTTTTCAGATGCAAAGTGATGGCCTTTTCAGATTAATAAACCCATTCCCACGGCTGACTGCACAGGGAGTTTTACAGGCTCTTGGCAGGGTTTTGGTCAGTGGGCGGGTTGGGAGGAGTTCCTGTCCATGCTTTTCTTTGCTTTTGCTGAGCTCACAGGCCCTGTGCTGTGATGCAGTGGTGCAGGAAGGCATGTGGCTCCTGCGGTGGCCGCCGCCCCCACTCAGAGGAGCCTGTGGGCCTCCTCGGACTGCCCTGTGAATCCTCTACCCAGATGCTACAGACAGGAACGCTTTCCACGTGGGAAACCATCTGCTCCACCCACCTCATGCCCTGGTAGGTGGTGGGGCTGTCCTGCTTCCTCTCCTGTTAGTTATTGGTGACAGAAAAATCAAAAGTATTGTGTCCCGATCTCTGAGAGCCAATGCCCTTCAGTTGGGAGGTAGAAGAGTTTGCGCCTGGCAGAAGGCAGAGGCAGGCAGGTCTCTACCTGGGCACAGAGGGAAGGGTGTTTCCCACCAGGCAGAGAGGTGCTGTCGCACCTGCTGTGGCCATGCAGCGGCAGCAGGGCCTGCACCTGCCGTCTCCGTCTGGCACCTACCCTCTCCGTCTGGGTTTCTGCCAAGGCCAAGGGCAGCAGCAGTTGTTGAAGGGCACAGCCGTGACCCATGCTGGGATGCAGAAGGAGAAGCAAGCCTTTTTCTGACCCACAGGGCTGGAGAAGAATTGGAAGGTGTCATGCCAGAGAGGAAGGGGCTGCGGCTGCTGGGGTGAGGGAACCACTGTGAGGCCTTAAAAGGTGTAGAGATCCTTATCAGCCGGAGGGGAGGTGATGCCTGGATCAGCAGTTAGCAGTTAGGTGGCAGGAGCTGCCTGGTCGGATCCTCTCAAAGGCAGGCTTAGAGGAAGAAGGAGAGAGACTGGGGGCTCACTTGACCCAGGATGCCCAACGAGATCTGACACGGCAAAAGCTACAGAGCTGTGGAGGACGGGGTTAGAGGATGTTGCAGGGTGGTCTCTGCTTGGGCAGAGGTCCAAGAGACCTTACAGCCTTCTAGAGAGAGAGCCTGACAATCCCTGGGGCTTGGCCCCCCCATATAACATAGCAGGGTGGGGGCCAACAGAGGCCCAAGGTCATGTGATGTGGGAGCCCACAGTAATACCTCCCATGAGTCCAACGGGAGGCTTGGAGCCCATGACAATGACTCATGTGAGTCTGCTTCATGGATCTCGCTGGGGAGGCCCAAGGTCAGCGGTGGAAGCTGGCAAGTCTGTGCCAGTGGGGTGAAGGAGCTATGCCAGCAGGCTGAGGGTTCTGCACCAGAAGCAGGAAGCGACGGTCAAAGGATGGACCAGGGCTCCCCTGAAAAGTACCATGGCCATCCTCAGGGACAGCGAGGACCCAAGCTCCTCCGACAATGAGAACAGCCAAGTTCAGACAGGGACAAAACGGGACAAATTCTTTGCCAGAACCTAACAGAAACACACATGAGTCCACTTCCTAGTGGACTTTATTTATTTATTTTTTTTTGTCTTTTTCTTTTTTATCGGTACCAGGGATCGAACTTGCGACTGCCTGCTTGCAAGGCAGGTGCTTATGCCGCTGAGCTAAATCCCCAGCCCCTGGACTTTATTTTTATCTAAAAATGGATGAACGAGTCTAAAGCCTGCTCAGGCTTGTGATGGGCAAACAGTGGGGACCAGTAAGACAGGGACAAGGGGGAGCAACAGGGTGGGAAGCACACCAGGCGCTCTGAGGGGCCGAGATCCAGGTTGGCAAAGGGCCTGCAGCATGTGCCTGGGACAGAAGGAGGGCAGCACACGCCTTAGCCCTTTGTGACTGCACGTCTCATCCTGCCGGGCTCCCTCAGCACCCCAGAGCAGCTCCCCCAGTGACCACTGTGACTCTCCAGGAACTGAGGTCTGGCTCCCAGCAGCACCCAGCGAGAAAGCGAGGCTGCCTGTCCGCACCCCCTGAGCCGTGCACCCTCTGCAGGTCTAGCTGTGGCTGACTGAGCTGCAGACTGCACGGCTGCTAAATTTGTGGTAATTTGTTACAAGCACCTGATACACGGCTGGCCTGTTCTTAGTTACTTTTTTTTCTTGCTGGGACAAAAATACCTCATACCCAAAGTTAGCGGAGGAAAGGTTTACTTAGTTCACAGTTTGTGGGGTTTCAGCCCACGTCCCACAGGCTCCAAGGTAGGGTGGAGGGTGGCGCACTTCGTGGTGGCAGAAGACAGGAGAACGACTTGCCTTTCAAACTCTTCTTGGCTGCGGGGACCAGGGCGGTGCCCTTCCAGGCGGACTGATCCAGTGGTCACCGGCTGTTACCCCAGAACCCTTAACCGCCACACTGCACCACCAGTCAGTCACACTCTGGGTTCAGCACCCCTGTAAAGGCCTGTCTAAAACTCAGGAGGCTTTGGGGTCTTCCAGACACAAACCCTTGCACTGAGTAAAATGATGGGGCCAGTTTGAAACCCTGCTGCTTCTCTTCCCATGGCATCCCATTCTGGTTATTATCTTATACTCTGCGTAACTAATTTATTTATTTTTAGTTTCTGGTTCTGGGGATCAAACTTACCACCTCAAATTTGCCAGGAGGATGCTTGTGCCACTGGGTTATATCCCTGGCCTTTTTTTTTTTTTTTTTTTTTAGGAAGAGTCTCAGCCTGGCCTTACACTCCCTGATTCTCCTGCCGCAGCCTCCTGAGTACTAGAATTATAGGTGTACACCATCACCAGGCCTGGCACTCTTCCCATTTTTGGAGACTCATCTTTTCTTTCCCAGTTTAAAAGTCACATTTTCTTTCTTTTTTTGAAAATTCAAAGCACTTTATTAATGAGAATGGAAGAGCCATCATAGTAATAAAAGGTTATCAGCTTGAGCAAAGTCTCTTATCTCGCAGGGAAGTAATCCTGGTGTGTGCTGAGTGTAGAAATCTAAGTGAAACCATCGGGCAGGTTCAGTCTGAAGACACTGGGACAGCACTGTCTCTTTCCTCACCGAGAATACGCAAAATAAATAGATTACATGGTAGCGATGGTATTAATTGGCCCTTGGCTCTTCTCAAGTGTCCAGTGCATGCTGCAGAGCTCATCCAGCTCCGGAGTCCTCCCCTCCCTCTCGCCTGACTGGTGTCTATGACGAGGACTCTCAGCAGCAGTGGTGCACCCCGCTCTGCGTGGCCGGGGCCACGGACAGCTCAGAGACCCCTGCTGCGGCTGGGCAACTGCTCCACACTAGGGTCCAAAGTCTCAATTTCCTCTCATGCGCTCCAAGCACAGGGACCCAGGCATGGGAGGGCACGGAGCAGGGGCAGCTCTGCACCCGGACCGCTCCTCCCTGTCAGAAGCTCAGCTCAGCATGGGAAGCTGAGCTCTGTTGTGCTGTGGAATAAAAGACAGCGATGAAGGAAGAAAGTGCGCGGCCTCAGCGTGGCCCAGCCCTTCAGCACTGGACAGCCCAGCGCTGGCCCATGGGATGGAAGGTGCTGTGTGGCCGGGCGGCCCATGTGGCACAGCCACGCTCCACTTTGTAGTCAGAAGCTTCCTCAGCATCCACCTCGCCCCCAGAGATCCCTGACCTTCTGCTGGCCTCAGTTTCCTCACCTGCAAGACACCCTGCCTCTGAGGGATCTTGTGAGGTTTAATTATGCAATTCACCACATTTTCATGGATGCAGACGCCCATGAAGCAGGCCTCATCCATGAGGCTGGTTTCCCCGGCGCTGACCCTGAGCCTCCGCCCCAGCTGCAGATGAGCAGTTCATCCCCTCAGCCTGTAGCGGGGGTGCAGTGAGCAGGATGGCCTAGCATAGCAAGTCCCAGAGCAAAACACACACAGAAGTGTGCACAGACGCATCCGCATGTGCACACAGATCCACTCACACACACACGCACAAAGGCACACGAACATGCCCCTCCAGACCTGCCAGTTCCCTCCGGAGACTGGCTTATTTAAAGTCTTATAAGAAGTTTAGGCCTTGAGGGAGAAGCCCGAGAACTGTGCCCTGGGAAGCAGCCGGGGTCCAGGTGCCATGGACTCTGGGGCCCCGTGTGCCCTGCTCCAGGATGCTCAGCAGAGCGAGACCCTGACCTCAGGGGCTTTGGACCTCCAGGTCAGAAGTGACACCATCACTGCCACAGTGGCGCACTGGAGGTGTGGCACAGGCTTGGTGGCCTCAGAGTCCAGGGGCAGCCATGGGCACTTGGAGCCTGTACCATGGGTCCCCTCCAGGAGCCCCAGTGCCTGAACCTCCCTGGCATCACTTTGGTTGCAGATCTCAGCCCACCCATGCCAGCGGGGCCCTTGACGCTGACTGGGTCTCCCCTGCTGACCAGGCCCCACCCAGGCTTCACTGCACCCTGGTCCCAGAAGTAAGAAGGATGGAGTTGCAGCTGGTCCCTCGGGGGAGATACTGCAGGTCAGAACAGGGAAGCCCAGGCTCCCTGCAGTCCCTGTGCTCTTCTCTACGTGACGAATTCTCCAGAAACTAAGACCATACAGATGACCTGAACCACAATCTGTACTCCGAGGTTGGCAGGTATAGCGCTCCTGCTTGGGATGGTGGGTTGAGGAGGCCACTCTGTGAAGGGAGAGAAGGTGCAAGGCCCTGAGCCCCAGTGCTGAGCTCTGGCCCTGCTGGGGGTGTCCCCCTTTCCCTAACAAGGGGCTCTGTGCCCCACCTCCCTTACCCCATCTCAGGGTGCGGGGCTCAGGCAGCCCCTCATGCCGCACACGGCACGTGTAATTCTGCTCCTCTCCAGAAGGCACCACCACAGCCGCCCACTTCTGGAAGGTTCCATTCCCATTAGGCCTGGTCTCCACCAGCTCCATCTCCTGGGTCAGCTCCTGCCCATCCCACTGCCAGGTCAGGGAGATGTCCTTAGGGTAGAAGCCCAGGGCCCAGCACCGCAGGGTGGCCTGTTCCTTGGAGACGGGGTGGCGGGTCACATAAACGTGGGGCTGCTCTGCAGTGGACACAGAAAAGGCCTCCATGAGGGACTTGCCGAGAAGCACAGGCACCAGTGACTGAGATGCTCTAACCCTCATGCTTCAGCAGTGCGCTGGGGCAGGCAGGGTGTCAGCTAGGCAGGAGTGGGGAGCCTAGGATCAGGGTAGGCAGGGAGCTCAGCCCCAGCAGCCAGAGCAGGGGTCGCTTCGAGCCTTGCCTCCCTCTCCTCCAGCCTGGGGCCACTGTTTGTAGACAGACGTTGACTGCATTCACGGCTGTGTCCAGGGGGAGAGGGGCAGAAGTGTGCACCCCCGGCTGAAGGACACGCCAGCACTCTCCTGAGAGCTCTGCCACAGGGAGGAGAAGGCAGCACCCCAGACTCAACAGGACAGACCCCCCAGATCTGAGTCTCCTGCAGTGGGCACGCTGTGTGCAGCACAAGGACCCTGTCACCCACACCAGAGTCTGCGCTCACTGCTTTGTGGCCCAGGGGGGCCCTGCTGGGGACTTGGGGCAGCAGAGCAGTGGCCAGGAGAGGTCATTTACCACGGCGGGCCAGGTCCTCTTTTCCTTGGTCCAGGTATCTGCGTAGCCACAGGATGCATTCCTTCTGCAAGTATTCCTTGTCTTTTTCTATTCTGTTCCTGTCCTCCTCCCACTTCCGCTTGGTTTTCAGGGCAATGAAGGAGGCCGCTACGTATTGCAGAGCGTCCAGGTCCAAGGTCAGGTAGTCACTGCCATCATAGCCGTACTGCCAGTGCCCGCTGGACTGGCCGTCTTCCTGCAGCTCGCAGCCATAGGTGAACTGGAGGGTGTGGGGGCCTGTCCACCCCGGACACGGTCAGGGAGGCAGGGACCCGTTGGGCCAAGGTGGCCCTGCCTGCCTTCCCGACCCACCCGCTCAAGGCCCCGCATTGCCTACAGCATGCTCACGCCCTAGACGACCTAGCTTGCTTCCTGCTTCTGGTCTGTTTTGGTTTCGGCCAGCTGGGAAGTGGCCGAGGCTGGATTCCAGGGCCTAGACTGCGGTGTCCTACACCCTGAGTCCGCAGGACAGGTCGCTCACCCTCCACAGCTCTGTGTACACAGAAGGGCCAGGGCCTGACCCCACACGAGAATCTCGGGGCCAACAATCACAGATGCTAAGAGCCAGGACCACAGTCGCCAACCACAGTGCCAACCGAAGAGGATACGCTGTGGTCAGCGGGTTTCTTTCCTTCCTAGAGAGCCCCATCCTAGCTCCAGCCTGGGCTGCAAGCTTCTCTGTTGAATTTCAAAATCAAACATAAATAACTGAGTTTGGCAAGCTTGGGTTCACCATGTGCCCTGGCATCTAGGCCCATGGGTCCCCGGTGCTGTGGCCACGCTGACCCTTGTCCCCAGTGACTGTCCCACCCCTTCCACACTGTGGAAAGCCATGGTCCTCTTTAGCCTGCATTTCACAGCTTGCTGGTTGAAGGCCTCAGTGGGCTGGTTCCCATTGCGACAGGAGAATGACTAAGCCACAGGTTGTTTCTTCCCTTCCTCCACCCAACTCCAGCCTCCAGCCGCACCCCAGCCTCCAGCTGCCCCCACATCATCCCTATCCCTCAGGTTCCCCCCACAGCCCGTCTGACAGCTCAGTCTCTCACCCTGGTCCTGAGCAGATGAGCCATTCTCTGGCCGCCCTCAGAACGCCTGCAGAGCCAGGGAGCTGTCCCCAGTGTGTAGGCACTGCCCCTTCTCACTGAGAGCTTTAAGGACGGACCCTTTGGCCACAGTATTCTAGTTTCCTGCGTGCAGCAACAGTGGATACAGCCAGGGCTCGACCTGTGACCCAGTGAACATGGGGCATGGCGAGATCCAGGCCCCAGGCCTGATTCCTGTGAGCAGCTGGGGCACATTCCTCCCCAGGGACAGCTGCTCAGAGCACCCCGTGGACCTCCCGTCTCTGGGCTCTCCTGCCTGTCAGGTGCGTACCTGCAGGCTTTTGTGGGTGCTCTGTGTTGATGGTGCTGTTGTAGTAATTCTGCACATTCCTCAGACTTATCTGGAAAATTTTCATTCTATTGGTGAAGATCTCGGTCTCATCATCAAAGTAGGCCTGCTGTTCCTTCAGCCAGGGCACGCAGGGTTCTGCCTGCATCAGCTTGCTGTTGTAGCGGATGAAGGGCCGGCCATCCAGGAAGCCAGAGGCAGAAAATCTGGGCACTCCAGGGCCTGCCTCAGAGACCGCCGAGTATTTATACTGCAGAGAGTGGGACCCTGCAACACAGCCAGGGACTTGCAGTCAGCTGCAGGCTGCAGCGTTTATCAGGAGGACCCAGAACCTGAGTGTGCGAGTTGTGCGTATTACAGATGAGGCAGGCACATTGCACCCATCAGACCTTGGGTGTGAGTAAGCCACTCACATGTGTGAATTCAAACCCATGAAGTATGCATAGAGGGAATTCAGAGAATTGACCAGGAAATAGTAGTGCCAGGCCTTGGTGTGAAGTTTCTAGAAAGTTCTCAAGCAAGGCTTGGGAATAGAGGGAACTGGAGATCTGGAAATAGCCTCAGGACCTGGTTGAGGTGACGTCCCCCTGGGATGGGCTCCAGAAGAGGCCCTTGCAGGGCTGTGCTCACTGCCCTGGCACAGTTTTCTTCCTCTGCTGACCCTGCCGTGTACGCGTTTGCATGTACTGCACACCGTTATGGGGACCTGGTTACTGAGTGACAGAAGGACAGAGCTTGAGCTGCCTGAATGAGCCAGGCACTGCACATGGATGCTGGACATAAGTGACAGCCGCACACAGCCAGTTACCATGCTCCCTGACTAAATACCCGGGCGGATTGCACTGTGGAGAGCGGAAACCAGCAAGAGGCTGAAGAGAAGCTGTCTGTCTGTCTCTCTGTCGCTGGTCCCAGGTGACTGTCCTCTTAGCGGGGTGTGAAATGCATACCCCACCTGATTACCAGCCTTATTGCTAGGATGGCACAGAAAGCCGTTCTGTTTCCAGAAAGTGACATGTGGAGCTTCCACCGGCCTCTGCTTTAGCTTTCTTTTTCATTTAACTCATTTATGACTCCGTGAGGTGGACCCTCCCATTGCAGGGACACAGGGCTGAGCTGCAGGGCCTTCATGGAAGCCTCCCTGTGACAAAAGGTGAGCTTCTAAGACTAACCTGTGAGCAGTGGCAAGGAGTCCCCGCCCACAAGGTCACTGCACTCCCAACCAAGCCCGCCCAGTGCCCCCTGGTCCTGGCCATGCCTAACCAGGCCTCCCAGGGCCACAGCTGCTGCACGAGCCCTGGGATTGCAGGCTGGGAGTTTCCTGCGGTTTGCACAGGGAGAGAGAAGCATGAGACTTCCCCGGTGGGGCGGCCATGCCTGGGTGGTGAGCTCTGGGCACGTGGAGCCACTTTCTGCCACGCCCACCCTCGAAGCCAGCGCTCTAAACCCAGGTGGTCCATGGCGTCCAGTGAAGATAATCCTGCGAGGGCAAGGAGCGTGCGCTTCTCATGAGAACCGTTTCTGAAAGGATCTGACTTTCTTTCCCATCTTTCTTGTTGGAGCTGCTGAAGCTGAGTACACATGCAGAGCTGTGGTGTGAGCATAGCTGAACTGAGAATGAGGTGACACCTCAGGGGGCAAACTAGGCCACAGCTGAGGCCACCTGGAGATTTTTCTCATGGGATAGTTCCTCTTAATTAGCATCATCTGTTGCTTGGAGGGGTCCTTGAGCCCCTCCTGAGGTCCTGCTCAGCTTTCCTGCGTTGTCTTTTTTTTGGTACTGGGGATGAACCTTGCACTTGCTAGGCAGGTGCTTATGCTGCTGAGCTAAATCCCCTCCTGCACCGTTTGAATAGTAAATAAACAGGAGCGGCCCAGAGGCGCTGTTGTCTCAGCTACCAGAGTTAAGGACTCTGCAGAGGTTTTGGTACTCCCGGAGCCCTGAAGATCAGATCACTTGTCTCATTTGTTTGGGTCTGCGCCCTGCACTGGAGAGATTTGGGAGATTGGGGATGTAGGCTCAGGCTCCAATACTTTCTGACTTCCTACTGCTAACAGCTCTTATAATCTGCACTTCGCAGCACAGCAGAACATTTTCCTGCCTCAGCCTTCGGTGGGGCGGGGGGCGGCGGGCACCGTCCGGCTCCTTCACCTGACTCCTTCCGAACACCTGATGGGAAAATGAGCCCATCTCCCTTTCGGACACGGGCTCAGGCTCGGGGTTCCCGGGTCCCCCCCCCCCCCGGCCACTCACGGGCGCAGGCGTCCAGCGGGAAGTTCAGCAGCAGGGGCCAGAGGACTGGGGCCCACTGCATGGCCGGGGATGGCCCGGGAGTGTCCGGGGAGCTGGCTCCCGAGCGACCCTGATGCGGCAGGCGCTTTTGGGCGACAGGACCCAAAAGGAGCGGATGGCCTGGAAGGCTGCAGAGTGGTTCCGCAGGGCCGCTGGGTCGGGCCAGGGAGAAGCCGTCCTGCCGTCCACCGTGGCTTCGGTGGAATCCCCGTGCCACGCAAAACAGCACCTGCAGCTGGGGCGGTAAAGAAAACGTTCCCAGGGGACTGTGGGGCTGCCAGCGACTTGAATTTCGCTGTTTTCTTTCGGGGCCCAATCACAGGAGAGGCTGGGCGGGTTGCGACCGGGGCGGGGAGGGGCCGCGGGGTTGCAAGGTCGGGCTCTTAGGCAGAAGCGCCCGACTGTAACTGTCAATAAAGATGTCATCTGAGCCTGGCTTCCAAACGCTTTTTGGTAAACACAGCTACCAAAGATTATTCTTAAACAACGCTCTCTGGCTCACGTTTCTGCAGATCTCTTTGTTGGGCCACACGGAGGCACTGGAGAGCACTGAGGCAGGCGAGGCTGAAGCAAACAGCGAGAACGCGCACTCGCCTCCCAGTTTAGGACTCAACTCTAAGCGCAGAGTCCCCCAGCAAGCTCAGGAAAGTCCCCACTCGGCTTGAAGCATTAAAGACGCTGTCAGGTCGTCAAACGAAACTCCGCCCGGCAGGAGAAGAAAAAATACTAATTTTCTCATTAAAAAAAAAAAAACCCTTCCAGCGAAACTACAATTGGCAGATGCAAAACAAAACAAAACAACCACCAAAAAACCCTTACAGCTCTGTTTACCAAAAGGCGGAACAGTCAAAATTTCCCAAGCCTGCTTTAGCAATGTTCTTCCCCTAACTGGGGGCAACGTCCGCTCTTCCCCCTGGGCCTGGCCGCACCTCTATCCCTTTATTAAAGCCCCTGCACGTTGCTCACACCTTGCCTGTCTCAACTATGCCTCGGTTTACCCTAACAAATGTGACGGCCCCTCGTCACGGCCTTGACTTTGCTGATTGACCAGGAAAGACAAAGAGCTGAGACCCTCCGCAGCCACCCGCTATGACAGTGGTCACCCTTCCGCTGGTCAGTCCCGAAACAGTAGCGAGGGCCCGGGCAGCGCGCGAGCGTAAACACGGAGCCCGGCCTCTCCTCCCTGAGCTGCAGGGACCGGCAGCGCCCGGACTAGGGTGCAGGGCCGGCCCGGACCCGGCCTTAGTCTGCTGGACGTGCTGCTGGCAATGACCAGGCCTCAGTTTATCCAAATTGCAGTGGCCCAGGCGTTAACCCAATTTCCACAGCCTGGCACAACCTGGGCTCTACAGGGTCTTTTAAAAGGACGCCGTGCAAGAGCGTGCGTGCACCGAGCCCGCCCAGGAAGCAGCTCCTTAAACCACAATAGCTCTTGGCTCAGGGATCAGGAATGCGCCTCCGGCTGGACTTCCCCTAAAGGCGGAGGTTCTGAGAAATCGAAACTCACCAGCGCAGCTGGGGGGGGGGGGGTGGTTCGTTTTCCGCCCTCAGGCGGTGACCCAGAGCCTGGATTTTGTTACTGAGGGCTCCCAGCCCGGCTCCCGGGCTTTGGACCCTGGCGTGCAGTGACCGCTCTGTCACGTCCCACTGTCTGCTCACCGCTCACCCTGTGGGCTTCGGCACAGGTCCCCTCTGACCTACCTCACCCCCCCCCCCCGTCCTGCCGACCTGTGCTCGTGTCCATACCCACTGGGGGTCCAGGCTGGGCAGGTGGGAGGGTTTGATGACTACAACCCCTACACCCCATCTCAGTGTGTAGTCCCGGCTGAGATCAACCCTCCTGCCTCAGCCTCTGAGTGGGGGGATCCCAGGGTGCGCTGCCGCATCCCCTGCCCAGTTATTCACGAAGCCAAATGGGCTGCCACCTCCGCTCTGCTGCAGTTCACAAAGCAGCTTCCACAGTGGGTGGGGGGGGCGGCGGGAGGACCTGACACGGGTGAGCCAGTGAGGCAGGGAGCGTGGGAGGGCACAGCCAGGGGTGAGGGGTTTTCTGACTGCTTCTGGGGGAAACTCCCCAGCTTCTGTGAAACTTTCCTGTTAGGTTCCACCGTAAAGGAAAGTGAGAGTGGGGGCGGTCTTTCCAAGAAGGGGCAGCAGGGCCCCTTCGCAGAGCTCCCCGCCTCTGCAGGATTCTGCTTCACCCTGTTCTGCACCCCTAGACGAACCCAAAAGGCCGGCGCTGTGTGGTAGACGCTAATGTAGTTACTAACGTCCTATTACAGGAAATCATCCCAAGGTTTGGTCTACCTCAGAGTATTCAGTCAGATAACGTCCAGTCTTTATTTCTCAGATCACTCAACGGGATCCTCAAGCTTACACATCACCTGGCGCCTACACATCCCATACTATGCATAATCCTCAGGAAAAGTAGAAAAGGCAAATGGCCTCATAAAGACACACCTTAGAAAACTCACTTTAGAACTACACCAACCTTGGCCTCAACTTCTGCCCTTAGCCTTAGCCAAGCTCAGGGCACTTCCCCGGGCTCCTACTTTCTTAAGTCCTTTTGAGCTTAAGTATGGCAGGCCATTCTTACTCCACAGTCTTCCTACTCCCCCAAATCTCCCTCCCCTTGCTGTTTATAGCCCAGTCCTCTCCTTCCTCCGACACCTGTTACGACAACATGCTGATCTCTGCCTTCCTCAACGCTCTGAAGGGGCCAAACCAGAGCCTCCCATAACCCCAGGAGATCTGATTTATGTCAAATGTTCTAAATCTGCAGGACTACAGCCAAGGTGGAGTGGCCCCTACCTGGTCTTCTTGGCAACCCCAACAGCGGTCAAAGTTGCTGGACTCCCATCCTGGTTTCACATCACTCAGGCTAAGCGGTGCCCTCCCAGCCCTGAATCTAACCATCCTGAGTGGTTATCTCATCTTCTGTCGCCCACCCGTCTCCATCTCACCAAGGCCTCACAGCCACAACTCTCAGGCTAAGTCATGTTTTGTTATCCTAATTTCTTACATTCTATTAATTATCCTTTTTACAGCAGGACTCTTAACAGTCTTTCCTAAAGACTCCCACATCAGGCGTAAGATCGTCTTCATGTTGTTCTACATGACAAGTGACAACTGCCTTAGTTCTCTCTACCCTCAGCTGTTCAGTCAAACGTGACATCCCTGAAGGCCTAGGCTCTTACCTTCCCTATAGTGCCACAGCCATGGCCTTCCTCACCCCTCCTATTCTTTCGAGCTCAACTCCTGGACCAGAGATGAGCCCTACCTATCTACACTTTCAACTGTAACCCTTGCAGATGGGAGAATAATCACCTCTCATAACTTCACTCCTCTTAACCCCACACTTATTTTTCAGAATTCTACCTCACCGTGGTAATGATTCTACATATCTAAATCAAAGGACCTTTCCTTCTACCTCTCCTGGGTCCTTAAATATGATAGTGGCCTGCCTCCTCATAGCACCTTGTCTCTTTGTTTTTTCAGTCTAACATACGTACATTCACCAATGATAAGGTTGTCCTGGCTAAAACACCTGGCACCAGCTTCTGCATGGGCATCAACCGTCATCCTGTCAACACCCCTAAACCCCAGTACAGTGCCCCCTTTCAGCAGGAAGTAGTAAAAGAAAGAAAAACTTCACCCTTTTCCTAATAATAAAAAGACAGAGATGAAAGGATTTTGCCCTGGATGCTGCAGCAGTGGGGGGCTGGGAGCCCGAACCAAGGGGCTCTATCTTGAGGTCATCTTCCCTGCCCCTAGGCGATTTACCTGTGGTGCAAAATGAATTCCAATGGGCTACCTGTGCATCAGTAATGCCCCTTAGGCACCACCCCAAACCTAAGCTACATGTATGCCCCCACACCACGTGTCCGGCAGAGAGGAAGCCAGACCTCAGTGATCATGGGGTTCTCGCTCCACGTTCTTAGAATAAAGGCCACTTTTATTTTATATTTCTATCTTTCTAGCCACACTGAAAATTCTATCACCAAACAAATCTAACTTTTCCTTCAGTTTTCCCTGCAGGCCTCCAAGGCAGTCACCACTGCTCCTATGTTACTGGAGGGTGGCTTGCTATGACAAACATCTTAGAGGGCTGGCGGGCCTCCTGGGATCTCATCTGAAATGTTTGTTTTGGGAGTTTCCACAGCAGGGCCACAGGCATGAGATTCCAACCCGGGATGGGCTGCTTGTTGCAGAATCTGTGGGTGGGGCATTCCAGAGCTACAGAGGCAGTGTGTCCAAAGTCAGAGTGTTCTGGCATTGTAGGAGTTCATGTGTTTGCTTGTTCCAGAATCTGGTAACCCAGCAAGAGGAAGACTCCATATCAGGGTGCTAGAAGGCAACTACACCAGCAGGCTGGTGGAAACCAGCTGCATAACAGGAGCCTGGCTCGGGGTTACACAGACACTTACACATGTTGTATGCAGAAAGTACAACAGGCTGAGAGCAGGTTTATTTTACCGTTGTTACACGTTTCATCTTATTCTAGGTAGATTCATTTCAGCAGGTTTAGTTTGTTTTTTTAATCCCAAAGCAGGAGGTCAGGGCTTGGGTGAGCGAGGAGAATCAATCATTATCTTTAACCAAGCCAGCTGTCCTTCAGTGATAAGTTCCTGAAACAAGTAACAAACAGGGCATATCTGTGGCCCAGCTGCATCTGGTCATGCTGAGCTGGCTGGAGCTATCTCTAGTTTGCAGCTGGGCAGAGGCAGTCAAGAGCCTGGCTGTGAGGCAGGCAGAGGAACATGTGATATCTTAAAAAGCAGAGGCAATTAGTTGTTGATTTTTAAAAGTTTTCCCTGCCTGCTGTTTAGTTTGGGACTTACCGGGCCCTTTCACCCATCTTCCTCCTGAGTGCTCTCTTTGGGAAGAGACTGATTATCCTGCACCTGCCTCAGAAGCACACACAAGTCAGCCCTGCAGGCTCCTGGCTGGAGGGGCACCTGCCCAGAATGAACCCCTCCTGCTGTCTCATGTGCCTCTGACTTAGAAGTTTACCCAAAACTCTGGACTTAAACTTGAAAGTTGATGATGGAAAAAGTTGACTTTGGGGTTGTTGGGACAGAATCATCCTGTTCTTACATCCTGCACGTGAGAAAGACATTGAATGGCTATGGCGATTTGTCCTGGGTCCCGCAGGGCCTAGGTCTTGGTTTCCTATCTGCAGAGCTGTCACATCCAACTCTCCAGGGGTGGTCATGGCCCCAGAGTGGATTGCTGCTCAAACTCCTGGTATCTGATGTTGCCACCATGTTCATCTTCTAGGATTCTTTTATAGGGAAAAGGATCCCGTTCCTTGGGCTCTGTGGAGTGAGATACCACTGACTGCAATCCCAAGAAGGATGTGGCTTTCCCATGTCTCTCCTGAGAACCTGCCAGCAGCACTTATGAACTGTTAGCACCCGTAATTTCTGCCTTGAATAACCATCAGCGAGGTGCCGGGTATGCAAAGACCCTTGCCATTTTGTCTGTGTGCTCCACTATCAGCTACCTCTGCCCTGCTGAGGTCCTGGAGAGCCGTGGCATGGGCTGTGGTCCTGAGGTCAGCCTCCCCTACAGCCCGCAGCCCTCCCTGACCTGAGGGAGCCCAAGTGCCCCTGCTGAGAAAGTGGCCTCCTGGTTCCACCCTAGGTACTCAGGTGCGGTCCCACTTCCTGCAGTTGAGGACTTGCCTTTTCTGAGAAGTATGTTGAGATTGCACTTAGAGACTAAAGCGGCACTTAGAGACTGAAGTGGCGCTAGGCAAATTATCGGGCAGCTCTCCGAGTGCAGGTGCTGACTACACCATTGCACCTGGCCTTGAAATTCACCCACTCAAGGTTCCAGGTGAGACGGATGCTGCCAGTCCACCCACCAGTTGTGCAGAAGCCAGTTCCCACAGATTTCCAACCTTTACCTCATCCTAAGGGAGATGCCAAGAAAACACATGATCCTAAAGGTCCCCTACTTTTCCATAGGTGTGAACTGCTTCGCACCCCCAGGCAGGCAGATCCCTGTGTCAGGGACCCTAAGATTCTGCGAGAGACCTGTGGTCGGGTTGCTGAAGCTTTTGGGTAAAAGCCTGTGCATGGGCTTGGATGCTGACCCACCCTAGCCTGGCCACCGGTTATCCCCACTCCAGTCAATGTCCAGACTGCGGTCAAAGGAGGACTTTTCAGCAGAGCCGCCCAGCTACCCAGCCCTGGAGGGCACATGCACACACTCAATGGATTAATAAATGTTTGTTCTTCTAAACCGCCAATGTATTCAGATTTATTGAGGGTTAATTAACAAATGGGAGCATGTATATTACTGTGTACTAGCAGGTTTTGAAATGTGCATACATTGTGAAATAATAAATTCATGTAACCTTACATGGTTACTATTTTTTATTATGTATGTTTAAAACAGTTAAGATCTGGGGGCTGGGGATTTAGCTCAGCGGCATAAGCAACTGCCTTGCAAGCAGGCAGTCGTGAGTTCGATCCCCAGTACCGATAAAAAGGAAAAAAACAAAAAACAAAAACAAAACAAAAACAGTTAAGATCTGCCTTAGAGCATAGCGGAGTGTACCAGGCAGTATGATTTGCTATAATCAGCATACTTATATTAGTAGGTTAGATCTCCAGGAATTACTCATTTGTAATCAGATTTTATTGGTACATTTTAGATACGCCTATCATTTGTGTTGTAAAACAATAGATTTATACTCATCTTACTAAATATAAGGTAACCTTAATATTGAATATACTTTTTCACACTCTACCCTTTGTGTCCCCACTTTGATATACTTCTTTTTTTTTTTAAATTTTATTTAAGGAGAAAAGAAAAAAAAAAGCAGGGAAAGGGTACAAGTTATACAGATTTACAGAAAAAAAATGAACAGTAGGAAATCACTAGTTAATGGATTACATATTGTCATCTTAGAAATAATTGTTCAAGTCACAAAATTAAAGCTTGTAAAGTGGACATTCCATCAATGATACTGCAAACAGTTCTGTTCATTGATCCAATAAAACTCTGTGATATCATTTTCTATCTTATACACTTAAATATACATGCAGTTATATAGTTTGGAGCACTTTCTTTTCCTCTCTTTTGTACCATGACTATTACAGATTTTGGGTTTCATTGCTCCCACGGTTCTTATTACTTTTTTGGAAGAGAGTAAAACCAATTGTGACATAAGAGAACAGACTCGGTCAAGTCAAAAGGGTGGACATAATAGATAATGTAAAAACATAATACAAGGTGATCAACAATGGTTACCATAATGCCTCCCGCTATCTCTAATAGAATTGCCTATATCATCAGTTATAATAAAATTGAACAAAACAGTAAAGAACGAAACCAACAAAACCAAAACATTGGAGACATTATGGGTCTTCAAAAGTAGATAATAGTCAACGAGAATGGGCGTTATAATGAATCTCACTATCTTCACAGCTGTTGCTTAAACTTTCGAACCTGGTACTATCAAGCAAAACAGAATAGGGGAACATCAGTTAAAAACCAGATGGTGAGACTAATACAGGGCTTTAAATCAAGGTAACGAAAAGTCAAAGTGGGTTACTATAATATATCCTGCTATTTTTTTCCTTTAATTAAAAGGATAAAGATAAAAAAGTAAATAATGGAGTGGAGATTGAGATAAAAGAGGGCATAACAATGAAACAGCGCAGATCAAAACATAACCATTTAAGCAGAATAGTGTTTCACCACCAGATAATCCTAACCTAAAAGTAGTTACCATATTGTCTCTTTCTTTGAAATCCTTGAGTACAACTTCGTATACTGTAGCATTAAGTATATCAAAACAATGTAAAACCATTCAAGAGAATGACAGCATTACAGAGTATTTAGAATCGACTAACAGAAAATGAACAATGGTTTCTGTATAATCTCCTTGTCTTTAAAAGGTTTTTGCTTATACTATCGTACATAATAAAATCCAATAAGATACAGCCTATTTAGACCATTGGAGACAGAAGGACAAAAGCTAGATGAGACTTCAAAACAAGATGATACTAAATCAGTATTACCTATTAAGATGTCATTTTCTCCAAAATAGCTGTTCCTATCATCCAATCTTCTCTGCCTCATTTCTGTTGAGCTCTTTTTCTGTCAGTAGCTGTCAGTTTGTCTTCTTCATTTTGTTCTCTGCTCCATTCGTTGTGGCCTCTCTGCTATTATTTCTGGATTCTTTGTATTTTTCTTTTTTTAGAATATCCTGCAAAACTCTCTTTAGAGTTGAATTGGTGGTTGCAAATTCCCCCAGTTCCTCTTTATCCTGGAAGCACCTTGTTTTTCCATCAATTTCCAGGGACAGTTGTGCAGGATATCTCAATCTTGGCTGGAGATTATTATCTTTCAAAGCTTGAATTATTTCCCCCCACGCTCTTCGTGATTTGATGGTTTGTGCCGAGAAATCTGCTGTAATTCTGATGGGTGTTCCCTTGTAAGTGGTCTGTTTCTTGTCTCTTACAGCTTTTAATATTCTGTTCTTATATTGAATTTCTGGAATTTTTATTATTATATGCCTGGGTGTTGCTCTGTTTGGGTTGTAGGTGGCTGGGGTCCTGTATGCCTCATATATCTGAGTATCTTTACCTTTTGCTAAATTAGGAAAATTCTCCTGGATTATTTCTGTGAGTAGCTTTTGTAGTTCACTTGTTTGTGTCCCTACTTCTTCTTTTATGTTCTTAATCCTTAAGTTATGGATCCTCTTATCATCTTCTTGTCTTTGTATTATTGCTGTTTGTTTCTTTGTTATTTTTAAGAAGTTTTTCATTTCATTCTCCCATATTACAAGTCTGCCCTCCAGTTCAGATAGTCTGTCCTTAGTTTCTTTCAAGCTGTTATGCCAGTCTTCTATAGACTTCTTAGTATCTTGGTAGTGCCTTTGAACCTGCTTCACGTATTCTATGCTTTCTCTGTTTTCTCCATCAAACAATTCTCCCCTTTTTTTCTGTTCTTCCATTCCACCACCTGTTTTTTCTTGGGTGGTACTTAGCATTTCTCTAACTATTCTGCCTACTTCTAGCTTCAGGTCGTTGATAACTTCATTCCTGAATTGGTCTATGAGGCTCTCTATATGGTGCCTTATGTATATTGGTGCGGTGTCTGCTATTGCCTGTTTCTCAGAATTGGGGGCCGAGGAGCCTTTCTTGTTGCTGCCTTTTCCCATGCTGCCTCTTCTTCTCTGTTCCTTATATATGCAAGCTTATATAAGAGGCCCAGCTTCTCTCCCAGTCAGCCACAGCCTGATCGAATTGCGCCAGTTAGGTGTTCCCACTCACCGCTGCGCATCAGGGAGTTACGGACCAGGCAGCCTACGCGTCTCCCCTCCCGGCCACCGTCAGGCTCTGGGATCTGGGTTGGGACAGTCTACCAGGTCCGCCGGCAGCGTCACGCAGGCCAGGCACTTTTCACCAATCCCGCCTGAGAGGGGGATGTGTGGCTGGAGTCGCCACAGCGCCCTGCTCCCGCAGGACTGCTTGGGCCCAGAAAGTCCTCTGCTGGAGTCAAACTGTGGTAGAGTGTCAGTTTCTCTCACTCACCTCACCACAAGTCAGTGCACGCCTCCCTGCCGTTCGCAGATTGCCGTTCTCAGAGCTTCTGTGTGTCTCTCTCCTTGCCGAGCCACTGTAGAGGCAGCCAGCCGCCACGCGGCAGGAAACCCAAATCGCAGCTTACAATGGTGCGGGGTCCAGCCTCCACACCGAGGCTTTTCTCTTCATGTTTTAGCACCAGGACTGCATTCCAAGTTGGTTTCTCTCAGCCCAGTTCGTTCCTGAGTCAGCAGAGCATATCTCCACCTGCTTATGTCTCCTTAGTCCGCACCATTCCTGGCTTCTGAGCCGAGTCTTTCAGAGAGCCTCCGGTAGTTGCTGTTATCTGTCCGCCATGTTCTCCCGGAAGTCTTTGATATACTTCTTTATGGGGCATGATATTTCTTGAGAATCAGCAAACTAAAACCCAGTTACTTACTCCACAGGATAAATCACTAGAACCAAGTTTGAACAGCATTCCATTGAAATATGGAGAGACATTTTACTAATAAAAAATAGTATGTGACAATATTACAGTATCTAGCACTTTCTGATTGTTAGAACAAACTATTTGTCTTGGTTACTTTTCTCTCATTGTTGAGAAAAAATACTCAATGCCCAAGAAGAAGGAAGGAAAACTTTATTTAGCTTATAGTTTTTGGAGGTTTCAGTACATATTCAGCTGGTCCAAGGCAGGGTGGCGTGGCTGAGGGCAGCTGCTCATGGTGGCCACAATGGCAAGAGTGAACAGGGTAAACAGGGAATTGCGTGTCTCTTTCCCTTATATTGCATGTTGGTTACCCAACCCTGGGTGGATGCAGCACCCACACCACCAATCCCAGTGCTAGACAAAGAACCAATCACAAGTGCTAGACTCAGCTACCTCCATGACTGCATAAGGCTTTGGGGTGACCTTTAAACAAAACACAACAGTATTTCAACTTCATAGCTGAAAACTAATGCAGGCACATGTCCTTAAAAATGATATTTGCTAATCTAGGTGTGGTGCTGCATGCCTGAAATCCATGGGATTGGGAGGCTGAGGCAGGAAGATCATTATAAATTTGAGACCAGCCTGGGCTACCAAGAGAGCTCAAGTCCAGTTTGAGCTCTATAACAAGACCCTGCCTCAAAAAGACCAAAAACAAACAAACAAAAAGGTATTAAAAATGACCTGAAAACTTTGTGAAATTAATTCTTTTATACAGGTCAGTTGTAGCAACAAATTGTATTGCTTTAGTTAAATTCTTCTTTTCTACTCATTCTGATATTCACAACTAGAATCCCAGATCTACTAGGGCTGAGGATCAGGTTCAGTTGGCCAAGTGGATAACCGAGATTGGCTGTTGACTATTGTGATGTCAGCTCCTGTGTCTAATAAAGCAGCAAAAGGTATTCCATTCAATTTAAGAGTACAGGCAGGTGTTTGAGATGGGACATTTTGGAAAAATAAATTTCCTTGCTCAAGGACTTGTCTGTACTGGGTTTCCATGAAGGATAGGGAGCAGGTGGCAGCTGAATTGTGGGAAAAGTAAGATCTGTGCCCTCAGATCACCAGGTTTGATCATCCAAATATCAGTGGAATGCACTGCACCCAACATTTCTTGATGATAATCACCATGTATTAAAGTTGGAACTATAAGACTTTAGGAATTAAGCTTGATTTTCCTACGATAAATCCCACAAATGCTTCTGCTGGAGGCCAATAGACCCCTGTAGGAATTAAAGTTGGGTTCCCCCTCAATAAATGAATGTGAGAAGCTAGTGGTAAATCGAATCCTCTTAATCTCAGGGTGATGGGCTTGTGCCCCACGTTGGGCACCGAATACTGTAATCCAAAAAAAAAAAACCTTTTTTTTTTTTGTCTTTTTGAGACAGGGTCTCATTATGAAGGTTGGACTGGACTTGAACTCACTTTGTAGCCCAGGCTGGTCTCAAACTCGCAATGATCCTCTTGCCTCAGCCTCCCAAGATTTTGGATTACAGGCTCTGCAATTCAAACATTGCAATCACTTTTCTGGTCCTCCCCACAATCCAGAAAGTTATATTTATATTCCCATAGAAGCATAATTGGAATTCCAGAAAGTTAATTCCAATCTATCACCTCCAATGCAACCCAGAGCAAGAGTAATGGGCAGCCAAGGGGTCCTAGGTGAGATCCAAGTGAGGAGTCACAGGACAAAGGCTTTGATCCAAGCCTCACTTTAACTAAAGCTGAAGCTACTGTTCTGCATTCAAGGAGAGGTGCCCAGGCTGTCTTCTACACTTGGCTGACTCCAAGGCAGGCCAGCATGGCCAGGGATGTGGGAGAGGAGAACGGTTCGTGGGATGGCAGACAGGAGCCTCATTCTCTTTTTGTTTAATTCAAGCTTCAGTCCTATTGGTTGGTGCCACCCACACCTCGGATGGTTCTTCCCTCTTCATTCAACCAAGCACCCACACTCAGAACCTTAAAAAGTCACTGGAGTGACCCAGTGTGCTGCAGCCATGATCCAGCCACTCCCAAAGCCCCACCTATGAGTGCAGGAGGCCCTGGATGGAGGTAGGGGCATGAGAGCTAAGCCACAGCATAGTCCTTGGTCAGCTGGCTTCCTGCAGAAATGGCTCGGTGGAGGGTCAGTGCTGAGCAAAGGTGCTCTTGTGGTATTCAGCAAGTGGATAGCTAAAGAGGAATGGACTCATGTAAGTCCCTGCCCCAGTGACTGCTTCTTCAGGCTACTCCCCTTTGGGCCAAGCCCCACTTCTTCAGGCCAAGCAAGTTCACCCTTGAATTCACTAGAGGATGCACCCGTTGATTAGTAAGCATCCAGTCACCCTATAAAAATCCCCCTCTGAGTACAGGCTTCCCGGGGAACATGATTTTTTACCCAAACCATAATGTGCTCTGAAAAACCCATGACACTCAAAATACCCAAATCCAGAGAATCTTCACAACCCTGGAGTGGGCCCTCGCCCCACTCTTCCCACTCGCCCCCAGGAGTCTCACCCTTTAAGAGAACTGAACTGATTCAGAGCTGTGGTCTCTCTGTCATGTGGCAAAACAAAACAGAACATGGTCAGAGATCAGGGAGTCCAGGCTGAAGGAGCAGTCGATGGGCAGCGAGCTCCCGTGGGCTCCTGTCCACGACACCCAAAGCCTTCCTGGGATCCCCCTTCCTCACACTTACTGTTGGTCTCTGTGTAGCTCCACTTCTGTGCACCTGCAGGAAGGAACAGGTGAGAGGGGCCAGGCAGAAGGGACAGTAATGAGGGTCCAGAGGATCGCTTCAGTCCTGGAGCCCAAGGAAGCTTCCAGAACGGGGATGCAGACCCACAGAAGGATCAGAGGCACGAGGGAAGGACATGTTCAGGATCTGCACTAACTGCCATCCTGGAGCTCTGTCCTAGCAGGAACTTTCTAGTCCGACCCAGATTTCTGGGAATTAGGGCCCCATCACCACAACCCTCTGGATAACCAATCTGTCCCTCATTATTCCTGTTTTACAACAGGCTCTGTGTCCAGGACTCCAGGCTGGACAAGCATGTGTATGGAGGGGGGGCGCCCCACAGGGTGGTGGGGTGCACTCCTTCCTGGGGCTGAAACAGGAAGACGTTGACCCCACCCCTACCTGCTCTCCTCCTCCTCCACATCACAAAGGGAACTCCAGGGAGCACAGCTACAAGGAGAATCACAGCAGCAACGATCCCCAGGATGGCCATGGAGAGCTGAGGAGGCGACTCTGGGGAGGGAAGGGGAAGGAAAGGAAGAGAAAAGAAGGAAAGAGGAGGTGAGGGGCTCTGCTTGTATCTAAGTGGACCCCAAAGCCTCATGCAAATGTGGGCGTTTGGAAGCTGACTGCAGTGTGGGCTCAGAGCTGACTTGCCGTTAGGAGGTGGGTTCTGGGGGGAGAAGGGGTCACTGTGGAAGTGGCTTGGTAGGGCTTCTCTCCTTCCTCAGCTTCTCTCATTACTCTCTCTGCTTCCTCTCTGCCCTGCAGCGCTGCCTGGCAACAAGCTGACTCTTGACTGAAACATCTAAAACCTGGGAGCCAAAATAAACCGTTTCCCTTTTAATTTCCTTGTATCAGGCGGCTGTGTTCCAGTAATGACACAGTGACTAAGACAGGGGCTCTGACCCCAGCTGTTGAGTTGTGTCTGTTGTGGGTCTCCAGAAAGACTCCTGCCATCTAAGACAAGAGCTCCTGTGCCCTCTCTCTCTGTGTCTTAGTTACTTTCTCATTACTGAGACAAAATACTCCACACCTACAGGTTAAAGACGGAAAGGTTCATTTCAGCTCAGTTTGTAGAGGTTTCAGTCCACAGTCAGGATGCTTTAAGGCAGGGAGGCCTGGCAAGGCCATCACAGAGGAAGACAGTGCATGGCATGGCAGACAGGATGCAACAAACTGCAGTAGCAAGCCTCATGTTCTTCACTGCATTCAGGCTGTGAGGCTACTGGTGGATCCCACTCATACCCAGGCTGGGTTTTCTGTCTTCCTTAATCCACTCAACAACACCCAGAATGGTGCTCATTCAATCAGCAGAGTGATCCAGTCATCACACCCTGCATTCCATGTCACACACCTGCATCAGCCACCTCCCACAAAGACCACCTGCGAGCACATGAGGATTTGGGGCATCATCTAGACACAAGGCATAACACCCCCCTTACCCCATCTCAGGGTGCGGGGCTCAGGCAGCCCCTCATGTTCTACACGGCATATGTAATTCTGCTCCTCTCCAGAAGGCACCATCACAGCCACCCACTTCTGGAAGGTTCCATTCCCATCAGGCCTGGTCTCCACCAGCTCCATCTCTTGGGTCAGCTCCTGCCCATCCCGCTGCCAGGTCAGGGAGATCTCCTTAGGGTAGAAGCCCAGGGCCCAGCACCGCAGGGTGACCTGATCCTTGGAGGCGGGGTGGCGGGTCACACGTGTCTCTGGGGGCTCTGTGGGGAAGAGAGTGAACATTTACAACCTCCTCTTACTTTCCTCAGGCCACGGAAGCAATGCTTCAGGGTCATCCTGAGAATGGATAGGACAACTGAGGCAGGGTTTGGTGCACAAAGTCCAGGCACCAACCTGAACCTGGTCACCAGGTTTATCCATTCATTGGAAACTTCCATGACCAGTATGAGACAGCCCAAGGTAAGAGGCTCCAGGTCTCTGAGGGTGGGTGGGGGAAGGGGTTCTTGTTCTGGTGCTGATCTAGGTGCTGACTGGTGTATCAGAAATGCTGGAGGCCTCCTCCAAGGACCCTGAGTCGGAAGCAAAGAACCAGTTCCTGATGGCAAGATTCTCCATGCTTTGCAAAGCCCACGTCAGAGTCAGAGAACACTGCGGGTTGGATGTTTTGCTACGGTTTTCTTCTCATCCTGGGGAGACTGGATCCCTTAAACCTTCCTAACAGGCAGCTCTCTGACCACTCGTCCGTTCAAGATTGGGAAACCCAAGAAACTCTCAGCTGCAGGTTCCAGGGCTAGTAATTCTGATCTCCGGCCTGTTTTCTGCCCTTTGCCTTGGTAGTGACGGGGATGGGACCTGGGGCCTCGCGCACATGCTCACCAGACTCTCCTCCCCTGAGCCTTACTAGTCCTTTCTGGTTTTTTTTTTTGTTTTTTTTTTTTGTCTTTTTCTTTTTTATCGGTACCTGGGATCAAACTCACGACCACACATTTGCAAGGCAGGCGCTTATGCCGCTGAACTAAATCCTCAGCCCCGTTCTTTCTGTTTTTGCAGGGTTCCCAAACCCGACCACAGACCCGCACCGTGGGGCGCTTAGGAACCAGCTAACAGCAGGTGTGAGGCGAGGGGAGTTTCTTCCGTAGTCACAGCCGCTCATCCGCATTCGCTCTACCTCTTCAGGAGATGGGCACAGCCCAGGGGCGGGGTGGAACTGCTGTATGGCCCGGGTACCTGTGTGCTGCAGCGTCTCCTTCCCTTTCTCCAGGTATTTTAGGAGCCACTCCATGCACTCCCCCTCCAGGTAGGCCCTCTGCTGCTCAGTGTCTCCGGTTTCCTCTGATTTGAGTATGGAGGTCTGAGCAGCCATGCTCAAGGCTGTCCAAGACTTTAGGTCCTCGTTCAGGAACAGGTAATCCTCACCGTCGTAGGCGAACTGACCGTGGCCGCGCAAGAAGCGCCCCTCGGAATTCGCATCGCATCCTGAAGTCCACTGGAGGGTGTGAGAACCTGTGAAGGCCACCAAAATCAGCCTTGCCCACCAAATACCAACCAAGGGTTGGCTCCGCCCACCGAGCCCTGTCCACCTGCCAGCCCCGCCCCACCACGACCCTGAGCCAGTCAGCCCCGCCCCGCTACTATAAGCTGCACCCCACCCCGAGCTATTACCCTACCACTACCTAGACCAGCTGTTAGCCTCGCCCACCGAGCCCTACCCGTCCTGGCCCCCCCATCAGCTCCACCCCATACTCAACTACAGCTACCTAGACCCGCTCTTAGCCCCACTCCTGAGCCCCGCCCCATGAGAGCCCCGCCCACTTAGCCGCGCCCCAGGGTCAGCTCCAACCACAGGGGCAACCTGTCTTTAGCCCGCCCACTGAGCCCCGCCCCCAAGGCAATCTCCGCCTACCGAGCTCCCACCCCGGCGATCAGCTCCCACAAGCAAGTGCAAACTGGCTGTCAGCCCCGTGAGCCCGCGGAAAGGGAAAGGGAAAATGAAACTCGGCACAGCAGGACAGGCTGGCCCCGGCGGACCCTGCGAGCCTGAGAGCAGGAGGAGAGGTCGCGACCTGCGGTGCAGGCCGGGGCGCTCACCGTCCCTGCTCTGGTTGTAGTAGCCTCGCAGGGTGCGCAGGTTCACTCGGAAAATCTCAGCCATGTTCGTGGCTCTCTTTGTCTGTTCGTCCCAATACTCCTGGTCCTCCCGCTCTATCCACCGCACGCGCGGCTCCACGCTCGGGTCCGCGGCGTCGCTGTCGAAGCGCACGAACTCCGTGTCGTCCACGTAGCCCACAGTGAAGAAGCGCGAGTCCCCGCGTTCCGGCCGGGACACCGCGGTGTAGAAGTAGCGCAGGGAGTGCGAGCCTGCGGGGCGGGGCGGTGAGACCGCGACCTCCTCCCGGCCGGCCCCGCCGCTCCCGCCTCCCTGCGCCCGCACTCACCCGCCCAGGTCTCCCTGCGGAACAGGATTCCGGGGAGCAGCAGGAAAACGGCTGGGAACGCCGTGGTCCCCATCCCCGGAGGTGACAACTTAAAATTGGTCTTTTTTTTTTGAGACGGGGTCTCGCCCCCGTAGCTCAGGCTGGCCGGGGACTCCAGGGGATCCCTCTGCCGCAGACCTCCGAGCGCAGGCAGGGTTTCTGTGTGATGTGTGCTAACTGATACTTTCAAGGAGGAAACGTTTACTGGCCGATGACTGGCTTCTCTGTAAATCCAATACCCAATGACAGCGAGTCTTGGTTTGAATCACAAGTGTCCGGGTAGAAGGACCTGACAGTTGTGATTAAAAAATAGACCCGGCGTGGCGGTCCCAGCACTCTGGAGGCGGAAGCAGGAGGATCGTTACCAGTTCGCGACCAGCCTGGGCTACAAAATGAGCCCAAACCCAGCCTGAACCGCACAGCAAGATTCTGTTCCTAAAAGACCAAAAAAAAAAAAAAAAAAAAAAAAAAAAAAGGGTCCCTGCGGCTCCCGAGCGCCACCCAGCGCCACCAAGGCAGCTCCTCAAACAGTGCACACGCCGCGTGCTCAGTCAGATCTGGAGCCCTGAGCTTGCAGCTGTTCCCGTGCTCAGTGACCAAGAAAAGTAAAGGTTTCCAGTCCATTTGGGGCATTTGGGAGGCAAAGACAGCACGGCCAAGGCGCGAGAAAGGCCTTCGGAACTGCTTCAGAAAGTGGCGGGAATGAGGGGACACTGTCAGAATTAGCCAGGAGACATCCGGAGAGAGCGCGTTTATGTGAGTCATACCAATACGGGTCGGAACAGGCTTTTGGAAAATTTTACTCATTCGAATAACGTTAAAATGCCATTACACGTATAAAGTAATATACTGTAGTGAAAAAAGCTAGTTTCCAAAACAACGTAGTCAGAAGAGGGATCATTTTGCACTCTTTTCTGTCTCACTGGAAGGTGGCTGCGCTTTCCTATCTGCATCTGCATCCATTCCTTTGAGTCTGCTGTTATGGTTTCCAGAGAGACATTTTATGCCGGCCCCTCCCTCCCCTTCCCCCCCTTACTGCGCCCTCCCCCCCTTTCTCTTTTCCCCTTGGGTTGCTGCTCCTTCTTACCCTTTCTGAACTCTCTCTCCAGCCCTGGTCTCTCGTTTAGAGGGAAAAGCGTACAGAAGAATCCAGCCTCACGTAAGCACTGAAGTGGAAAAAGGGTTATTTTAATAGCTTTTCTCGAGCGAGGGCAGGTTTTCATCTCTGAGGGACAGGACAGCCGCACAAGTGGCGGCACCGTGTGGTTCCCGGGGATTTGCAGACAGCACAGGAGGGCAAACCAAGCTAATGACGTAGCTGTCACTTCACTGCCTGGATTTTATGGCCACACACTTGAAATCTGTGCTGGGTTTTGAAATATGCCTTCACCCTGCTGAACAACAGACCGCACACGGAGCTCCTCCTGTGGGCCACTCGGGCCCTTCTCTCAGGAACTCCCTGTTTCTTCTGCCGGCTTCTGTTAGTCCACTTGTTACTTCTGCGACAAGTGGTGGCTTCTGAAAACTTAGCTATAGGGCTGGGGACGTACCTCAGAGGCTCGTCAGCTGCCCTGCAAAAGTCCTGAGTTCCATTTCCAAAATGGAAACAGCCACCCCAAAACCCCTAAGCTTGGGGAAGCTGTCAATCCTGAAATGGTAGATTTCTAATTTCCAAAAGATATTTTTTCGTGTGTGATTTTAAAATCGTATCGGTGCACTTTAGATATACATGATGATGGCAGTCATGGTAGGGAATGTGGACCTGTCGGGCTTCCCCTGCTTCCCCTCCCCTCCCCTCCCCTCCCCTCCCCTCCCCTCCCCTCCCCTCTCCTCCCTCCCCTCCCTCCCCTCCCCTGCCCTCCCTGCAGCCCCTCTTCCCACCTCACTTACAAAGCTTCCTCTCCATTTTCCTTTCTGTTCTTTTTTCCTTGTCTCTTCCTTCCTCCCCCACCTTGTTCCTCTTCCCATTTGAATATTTTTTTCCCTTTCCCAATATCCGTCATACATTTAGGTACTTATTTATACTTTGGGTTTCTCACACAGAAAAACAAATGATAGTTAAACAAATGAGTCCAATTTATTTCATTTAAGTGCATCAGTGACCCCTCACCTGTCATCATGTATGTTTCACGGCTTTATAAACCCGTATCACACTTCTATAAACCTTTCCCACACTCTTATATATACACATTTTAATATTTTTATGTTGTTTAAAATTTTTTAGGAAAAATAATTAAAACCGTAAATATTATATAAATATCTGTGAACTGCAAAATCCCATGATATAGGGAGAACTCAGTGACGCTGCAATGCGTGAACCACAATATAGCAAAGAACTGAGGTCTCAAAGTGCTTCCATTTACCTAGAAATGCCTCAAGCCTAACCTTCTTCGAGGTAGAGTAGTACTCTGTTGTATTTTTTAAAAAACTCACATCTTTGTGGCTGTGATGATGGATTTTTGGGCTGTTTTCAAGATTTAGTTATTATAAATTGTTCTGTTTTAAACATGAGTGAGCATATAGCTGTTTTTTTGTCCTAGTTTTTCTGAGGACTATCCATGCTGATTTCCACAGAGGTTGCAGCACTCTATACCCCCAGTAATGTAGGAGTTTCTTTTCCCCTGCAGCCTCTCCAGCATTTGTTGTTGGTTATTTTCTTGATGATGGGCACTCTTTCTGGAGTGAGGTAGAATCTCAGTGTTGTTTTAAGTTGAATTTCAAATGACCAGTAATACTGAAAATTTTTTTATATTTATTTGCTATTTCTACTTCTTTATCTGAGAAGTGCCTATTATGTCAGATGCCCATTTTTGGAACGTATCTTTAAATTTTGGGTGAAGGTCTGATTTTTTTGAGTTGTTTATATATTTTAGATGTTAGGGCCAGGGATTTAGCTCAGTGGGTGTAAGTGTCTGCCTGGCAGCTGCACGGTCACAAGTTTGATCCCTGTTTAAAAAAATTAAGAATCTATATAGTTTAGACATTTGTTATTTGTCTGAGGAATGAACTGTTGGCAAAATGTTCCTCACATTGTGAATCGTCTCTTCACTCTGTTGGTGGTTTCCTTGCAGTACAAAAGCTTTCTAATAAAATGAGATTCCAGTTGTTGATTCTTTGTGATGTCTCCTTTTTCAGAATACTGTAGTTTTTCAGTGTAGCAAATACATAATAAAATGAAAGAAGAAAAACTACCTACCAACACCCTCCAAAAAAAAAAAAAAAAACAAGAGAGAAAACAGCCCACTTGCAGGTTTGTCTTTCTGGTCACTGGTAAACAACATGTGGAGACAGCTTCCAGATCTGTGTTGATTTACCCCAGCAAGTGAGCAGTAGCTTTATGGTGGGCAGTGGGTAACTTCAGTGAGCCTGTGCCTCAGTTTCCCCTGAGGTTTTCCCAGCCAGCTCACCTTCTTTGGATTTGAACTCAGCTGGGAGCCACTAGATGGACTCAGCAGCTGTCTTGAGTTCCGAGCTCAGCTGGCCTCCTCCTAGGTGGCCCCAGGCAATTGCTGTCTCCCTCAGGATGACTGAGCCCTCAGCACCTACCCCCCAGCTGGCGCAGTCCTTCATGTCTACTGTCCCCTCTACTGCTGCATCTCCGTGGAGGCCTCTGGGGTGGCCAGCTGTGGCTGTGTGTCTGCAGGTTTGAGCTGCTCCCCAGAAGTGAGTCCCGAGTCAGGAAACACACGGCCTGCCCCCGCCTTCCTCTTTGCTGAAGTCCTCTCCTCACTGCCCCTTGGGTCCTGTTCCTACCTCAGGTCCCTCCTGGGTGCAGGCGCCCACTTCCCTTCGTGTCTTCCTCGTGTTGCTGTATTCCACACCTGGACAGCAAATCTCACAGAGGTTTTCTCTGCTGCTTATCACTCTGTTTCCTGAAAGTCTGTCATTTGTGACTTTTTTTTTTTTTTTTTTTTTTTTTTTTTTTTTTTTGGGGCCGAATCACTTTATTGAGGGATTTGGAGTGGGGAGAAACAGCTCGAAACACGCTTTAGACAAGGAGAAGGGACGTCCTTGGCATGGCTGGATCTTCCAGTGTCCGCCGTCGCCAAAAAAGCTTTTGTGACTTTTTTTTAATTTTAAAGGGAGGAAAACAGAACAGTAAAGTGAAACAAAAGGGTGACAGGACAGCAGGAAATCCACAATAGTTAGCATAATGTCTAATCTTGTCATCTAATTGCTCAGGCTACTGGCCCCAGGCTTGGAATTCAGTCAAATGACTGCTCACTTCAGTTACTATCATCTCAGCCTGTGTCACACCCCGGTGCTCCTAGCGGGGAGGAGGGAGGCGGAGGCAGAGTGGCTTCCTCGCTGGTTCTCCCGGCCACCAGGGCCTGCACTGCTGCACAGCGTGTGGGGTCTCCTGTCATTCACTTCTAAGCGTGAAAATGGTGTTTCATAAGAAAGTCTCGTTCAGCTAACACAAGTTACTTTCCTGGAGACAAGCAGTATTTTGGAATGTAGCATACACACTTCCTGTCTGCTTTCCACTTCATCCTGTTAAATGGTGCACAGATGCAGAACCAAGGATGATTGTCTAATATGGTTAATTTTTACTGCTTCAATAGAATACTTGACTGTGATATTGCAGAGACTGAGTCTTGCCAAGGTGCTAGCAGAATTACCTCAGTGCAAACGTCAGCACAAGGAGAAAGGTGAACGCTGTCTTGGTAAAGCTGTGCCATTGCCTTGACCTCATGTTAGGTCCCATCAGAGCGTCCTATTGACTGTAGAGGATCCTGACCCTCATCCTGACCCTGCAAGGATTCACAGAGCACACTCCAAGAATGACTGAGTGAACCCGGGAGTCTCCTAATGGGTCTGCCTCCCTTCACTTTCCAGAATCCCGTCCTGTGAGGTGGACTGCCCCCAAAACTCATCGTGCAGCTCTATCTGCCTCTGGACTCTTCTAGAAGACAGTTTATCCTCTAAAAATCTGATTTCTATGTTTGCAGTCAGAGGACTGGGGAGGAGGACAATAGTTTCTCCCTTGGAACAGGAAACATTTTGTGTCTAAAGGCACCAGATAGAGATTCACTCCTGACCCATTTGGGTTTGTTACACAGAACCTTAATACTTATCCACATCCCAGACAGCGGTGAGCTGTGCAGTCCACAGAGGAAATAATCCTGACTCCTTCACTGCAAATAGTGTTAGTGAACCAACTTGAGACCCA